AGCGTCACATAATAGGGGGGGGATTGGACCAGAGAAAAAGCATGAAACTCTGAGAAGAATATGAAGTCCATCATCACTTCTGTCATTGTCGACCACCACTGATCATCATCGATTGCCACTTATTTCTGGTGACAATTTCCTCCGCGCATCAATGTTATAACTCGGGAGACTTTGTAACTGATTCTTGCCTGTGGGACAGAGGGTTGTACTTGTAATTTTCAGTTTATAGTGGATATTTTCAACTGGGTCATACGTCTTGGTTTTTTCCCTTTACGGTTTTTCCGCGTAAAAACTTCTGGTGTCACTACTAATTGTTTTCTTTCACATGAATGTGTGATGGATTTTCTTGCAATGCTGATACGATAATTTATTACTCTACCGCCGCGAATGTTCTAGCACGCATTAATACCTAAGCATTCATATGTGCATACATAACACTCAGGTCTCTAACATTTCATCAAAAATATCATCATTATTATCCTGTTAAGAGTGAAATATATGTATATATATATATATATATTTTTTTTTTATGCACAGTTTTAGGACACCAAACTTTGGGTGTTGGATACGTAAATACATAAGAATGTTGTGGTATGTATGTAAATTTCCCTTTATACTTTGGTGTTTGTAGATTTTTCAGTTGCTCAAAATTAACGTCTCTTGACTATGACGCGTGTGCTATTGTAACTTTTTTCTCAATAAAGCATGCTAATAAATAATTAAAAACTCTAGTTATCATAATTTATGTGGTGATATGTATATTTTTTGAAGTTATAATTGATATATTTTTTACTTTAAAATATGACAGACAGCTCTTACAAAAGTATTCCAGCAGAGCACTTTGTTGTGACAGCCAAACCTAAGCTTAGACGACCTTTTGCCTAAGTACCTATTTGGGGCAGCTTACAAGTGCGGGCGGTATTTTCACCGTATCGTCTGGTTCGCGCATTTCTCCAACTTATCTGAAACCGCATTTGGGTTTTTACACTAAACGCAGGCCGCCGGCCGAATACCGCAGTCCGCCGCATTTCAGGATAAGCAGCTTATCCTGAAAATCACAAGCTGCCCCAAACGCACCCTAAATCTTTCCAAAGTACTGCTACAATGTTAAAAAGAATCTTAGTAAAACTATATTAAATTATGGTACGCTTAGATCTATTAAAAAAGTATCATGGTATTCTCCATTGGTAGCTCTAATTACATTATTTTTTATAAATTAATCATTTTATGGTATAAACACAACCAAGGCCTTGTAAGATCGTATTTTGTTTAATAATATATATAAGAAAATTGTGAACATGTGAATTGAACCTTTATAAGAAAATTGTTAGCAATGTGGTTTAAAGTTGTAGAAGAAAATTGTGACCGCGAAAATTTAAGGCTTTGACTATTTAATCAATTTTGTAATAATATTTAGATTTACAATATGTATGTTGGCTGATTTCAAGGCCCATCTGAACGTGCAATTTTTTAGTTGAGTTGAGTTGACTCATATTCAGTGTATTTCAAAAGTGATGCATCTTTCAATGCATAGATTTATAAGATAAAAAAGGGCATAAATATAAATACAAAGGTTAAGAAGTTAGATACGTAAATGCAAAAGAATTATACATACAACACTGAAGATGTTCGGACGACACCCTCTTCTTAAAACTGATTGTAGGCCGAACTTGTACTGGGCCACTTGGCGGGCCCGTTGTGGAATCCATGGAATCGTTGGGCCCATTTAACAGGCCCTTTTCCGAATATTGATTTTCATTGCAATTTCTGCCGGACCTCCTTCCGCTGTCGTAAATTCCTCTCCTCATTTGGCTTCTCATTCAACGAGGGTTTCTACAGAAGAATTTTCCCGAGGAGTCGCTAAGTATGTTTATGCTTCTTTATATGAAGTGTCGCTTTCCTGTATGTTGTTTGGGGAGATTTTTCTTTCTTTTTTTTAGGTTTTCGTAGTAACGTTTGATAATTTCTTTCATAGAAATTGGTAGAAATCAAATTATCCTCTTTCATATTATTTCCAAAAGTATGACATGCGTAGTTTATAATCCATTTGTTCTAAAGTGGCGCCATTCATGCAAGTTTTGAATTTATGTTTTACAGCTAGCTTTGTGGAAACTGCACGATCACAAATCACTTTACCTTGTTATGTGATGATGGGAGGTTTTATTTTGTGGATGCTTTTTCATGCAGCTTTTATATAATTCATAGAATCCAATACAAGCAACAAAGAAAATTCTTCTGTAGAAACCATGATGATGAAATAAGACTATTGATGACGATCAAATCATTGACTTTCAAATCGCTGTTTGGCTTAGTAAAAGCTTTGAAATCCATTGAAGGAGACCAAACCAAAGTAGCAGATATGTGCTTTAGTATTGTGCCTCAAATAACTGTCTAAAACATGCGGTAAAGAAGAAAAATTACACTTTTCCATAATTCAATTTCCTCGGACATTTTTTTCTAATACTAACTTAAATATTTGTCGATTCTGTTCAGAATACAAAAACAAAAATTGGCCAAAACAATACAGACCAAGTAAAATAAGTATAAGCTACCTACTATCTAGTTCCAAATGAAGCCCAACTTTACTGACTACAGTATCAGATAGCTTAATCCTTATATTTTCAAGCTCAGCTTTTTGTTTTTCCTCATCAGATAACCATGAAGATAAACACAGATCAAAGCAATCTTTTCCGCAGCAATTTGATTTATCTGGTTTGTAAAAATTGAATTTTTTCATATTTGCAGCAGAAGGCTCTTCAAGAAAGCTTCTGAAGATTTTTTTTGTAGCACCACACCAGATGGGAGATGCAAGCTTCAGAAACTTGAAAACATCCAGAACTGGAAGATGGACACTTCCTAGGTCAGATTCATCATCTGTTTTTCTTCCATGGTAATCTGATCCTCCAAGCTTTAGAAGCTCATACGTATCAGCTAAATTACTGAATCCTGTTAGCAAAGTAACCACCAGCTCATTAGGGGAGCTAGAATTGATGCAGAAAAAGGTTTTAAAACTCGGTTTCGGTTTACATTTTAGTTACATTTTGAAAACTTATAATTTTGTTGGTTTTTGCATGGAAACTTATTATTGTTTTTAGTTTTCTTGTTGTAATATATTTCAAATGTATATTTCATATGTGAAGCAAAGACGATTATCTAACTGGGTTTAGATTATAATACAAGAAATTTAAGAGAGACTGGATGATAGATTTATTTTGGATATTTTAGGATTACATTTTTAAACCAAATAAATTTAGTAAAACACGTTGAGTTAATCTAAAACTTCAGTAAAACTCGTCAGAACTCACAAAACTGAAACCAAATATAATGATTAGATTAAAATTATTTTCAATTAAAATGGAAATTGAGTTATAAAAGCATTTTGCCATTGTGAGAAATTTCCAGCCTCAATATATCTCAAGGGTACAACAGCAACAAACCTTTATCCCAGTAAGTGGAGTCTACTACATGAATACTTCTTCTCTATTGCGTCCTATTGAGTGTCATATTTTCATTTAATTCTAATAAATTAAGATCATTTTTTGTACAATATGCCCAAATCTTTCTAGATCTACCTATGTCTTTCTTAACAGAAGTCAAATATAAAACATCTACTGTCCTAATCGAATCATTAGATGGTCGAAATTTAATGTGACCAAACCATCTAAGATGACTCTATTTTTGTTTGTCATTGGAGCTACACCAACTCAACTCTATCACTCCAACTCTATCACTGATATATTCATTTTGCATTTTGTTTGTAAGTGTAAAGCCACTCATCCACCTAAGCATTCTCATCTCGACAACACTTAAATTAATTTTATGCTACTCATTAAAGGCGAACATTCAACGCCATAGAGCATTGCAAGTCTCACTGCCATCTTATAACATTTTCCTTTCAGTCTAAGCGATACTTTTCTGTCAGACAAAATAGGCCTGAAGCATTCCTCCTCTTTCAACCAACCAACTTGAACTCTACTAAAAACATGCCCATCTAATCAATATCACCACCACTTTGAACAATAGACCCGAGATATCTAAAGCGTTCACACCTTTTAATAATTTGATCACCCATAGTTACAACTCTGTCAATAGGCTACTACTACTAAAATAACATTCCATGCATTCAATTTTAGTATATTTAAAGAGTGAATAATAAAAATTCTACACTACTCATGAATACAAAATGTCATGCAAATTGATATCACATACATCTGCTGAAAAATACTGTAATCATTGGCTACGAGAATAAAGGTTAATTATTATGCTCGTTGATGCGGAAATGTATCCAAAAGGAGTCTTGTTACGCCAAGAGGATTTCATAGCTCTTGAGAGAAGTTAGCACAACCTGTGTAAAATCATTGCATGCTATACAGTACTAAAATTAAAGCTATTAAATCTTTGGATAAGTAACCCTTTCAAATGTTTAACCTGTCTGACATGCGTTTGGTTGTAATGCAATAATAAAAGATAAATTTGATATGGATTTCATGAACCTCACCTTTTGAAAATTTATAAAAGAAGTAGATTTTCAAAATATAAACAACGGTTTTCAACTTCCATGAGCATTTCCTCTTGAGGATCCTTATGGAGTCAAAATGAAGGGTGAATTATTTGAGAGAGATGGACAAAAGCAATCTTCGATTGGAGTTAATGAATAAGTGGAAAATGAGTAAGATAAGAGCTCACAAGATATCCCAAGGATCTTTGGATCATTTACGCTGAATTTGATAATTTGGAGAAGAGTTGTGACGAGATATTCCCAAAAGATTTTTGGATCATGTTGGCCAAGTTTAATAATGTGGAGACTATCTGACAATTACAAGAAAAGCCTTACACTCAACGACCTTAAAATAGCTCTATGATGAAGAAATCCAAATCAATTCGATTGTTCTGCATAGATGAAGACCGAGGTGAAGTTGGTCTGGCTGCTATATAACAAGGTTCACGAGGGAGAGCGTCACATAATACCGACTTCTTGGTGATGTTCCAGATAGATTTAGTGATGTAAAGTTGTTGATTTCATGAAATAACATAGGGCATGATGTGTTACTGTCGTGTTATTGTCGTGTTATTGTCAACGAAAACACACAAATAAAACGACTGCCGCAGATAACATACTGTTAAGTTGAAGCATCGGGCTGGGTAAACTTATAGTAATATATTATTATTAATAATTTGTTATATAATATAATTTATAGGATTTAATTTTTTAAAATATGATAATTTTATTATTATTATTAATTTGTTATATATTATTACATATAAGATTTAATTTTTTTTAAATATGATCATTTTTTTTTATTTCAAAAACTTTAATTAATTATACTTGAATAACACATCAATAATATTAATGTGTTCTTGATATATTATTTGAGTCTTATTGTTGTACTATTCAAGTGTTACTTGAGGTAACCTAACCAGTTTTGTATTGATTTGTTTTCGACGAAAGTGTTATTGTGGTGTTATCGCGTTCGAAAACACCCAAATAACACGGCTGTCGCAAATAACATGCTAATCATCGAAACTTGGAGCTGGTTCGGGCCAAGTGAAGCAAAAAACATTAGGTGGTATGTACGTAAAATATTTATTTATATAAATAAAATACTAATAGTAATATATTAATATTAATAATTTGTTATATATTATAATTTATAGGATTTAATTATTTAAAATATGATGATTTTGTTATTTAAATTATTTTAATTAATCATAATTTATCATATTTAATTTTGCGATTATGTATTATAAAGTTTTCAAACATTTATTTCATATACTAATCGGATCTCAAATGATAAATAGATTGAGGTAACCTGCGGTATTATTGTGATGTTATTGATGTATTATTCGAGTGTTACTTGAGTTAACCCGCTTTGTATTGACGTGTTTTCGGCAGCGGTTTTATCGCGGTGTTATCGCCGCCGAAAACACCAAAATAACACAACTGCAGCAAATAACATGTTGTTCTTCGAAACATCGGGCTTGTCCGGGCCAAGGCAAAAAAAAACTGGGTGTTATATATGTAATATATTTATTTGTAGAAGTAATCGATTAATAGTAATATATTATTATTAATATTTTGTTATATATTATAATTTTTAGGATTTAATTTTTAAAATATGACTATTATTTAAATTATGTTAATTAATAATAATTTATCATATTTAATTTTATGAATATGTATTATAATATTTGTGTGTTTTTTGAAGGACTCAGCGGGATTAAAAAATGCCAAGCGGCGCTTTTTCAAAGCAATGGGCGAGTCGCATGTTCAGGAAATGCTTATTTTTTTTACTCGTGGGACCCACATTTACACTGGGCGTTATTTTATTAGTGTTCGGATGCAAACTTGTCTCAGGTTTCCGAACGTAATAATTTTTCATGTTTAGGGAGGATGTGTCGCGACGGGCATGCATGTGTTCAACCCAAGTGATCAGGTGTTTGCAGGCATACCAGGTGACTTGGCAGTCGAGCAGGTTACTGAGTCAGGTGAAGGCCGAGTATAAATTTGAGGGAGCTCGAGTCCACGTGCCAATTAAAACGGCCCAGGGTGGTGAAAAAGAAAATGAAAGAGGCGCTTTCGTCAAAAACTCAATAGATAAGCTGATAGAAGTATGTGCAGCTCAGCCTAGTCCTTCAAATGACACCATCATTAGATGACTTTCTTGGAGTTTTATATGCACATCCTGAACTTATGGCTGATACGACACTCTATCTAAACTCTGTTAAGTTGCATGAGTATCCTACCCACAGACAAATATTCATGAAGCAGCGCCCCGATCTTCGTGTTTAATATTTACATTTGTCTATGGAAAAATGATTCTATGATGACACTGTTTGATGGCTTGATTTTTTCTTGTTGTTTATTTGTTTCAATTGTTTTTTCCTTCTTTGTTGCGAACAAAAATATGTCTCCATGCAGTTATTTCAAATATGGAGCAGTTACTATTCTTTTTTTTTTGAGTCGTGAGGTCCATGATGAGACTGACCTTATGGGTTTTCCTGGATAGTCGGTTCGTCGTTGTTACATGTGAAATCCTAATGAAGACAACCTAGATCCTCTCTTCTTTTTAATGCATCGGTTTATGAGGACCTGCTGGATTGTCTTTTTTGTGATATGAACATGTGGCACAAGACGTTGGTTTCTCACTGGTGTTGTATGTGAAATCCTAATAAAGAAAATCGAGATCCTCTCTTCTTTTCGGTGCATCGGTTTATGATGACCTATTGGATGACCTTATTTTGGTAATATGCACATGTGACACAGGACGTTGATTTCATGTGAGCTAAAGGCAACCAAGAACTTTTTTTTTTACAAGGTCCACTATCCTCAGTAGTGACAGACTCATTGGTCGGTGTTGTTATTTCTCTGAGACCTCACACTCACATTTTGTTTTCCAATTTATGTTTTTTTATTCGGTGTTATTTTCGATAATTTTCATTTTTCTTGTACATTTGTTTCTATAGTTTAATTTTCTGGGTTGAATAATGTTCTCTCCTACATCTTTCAAAGAACATGAGCTTCAGGATTTCAAAAACCTCCCGACGTGTGTTTTTTCGCTGTGGACTACAGACTTCCTTATTGATTACGGGAGAAAGTTCTGCAGTTGCCCACAGAACGTCACAGAGAGGTATGCTTTCTTCCGTTGGGCGGACAAACAGTCAAGCTTCACTGTCGATAGTGATCGGGGTTCGATGGTATCCTTGTAGGACAATGTATCTCATGACATACGTTGTCTCGATTTTAAAATTAATATTATCACAATTTTAATTCTAATTTTAGTAATTTTTTTAATCAATTTTGATACTCGTTGTTAAGTGGGGACTGTTTCAATTTTTTTTACTGTTTTGTATTAGTTTTCTGCTTCTGTTGTATCGAATATATTGTCAAGACAGTTTTGTTACAAACAACATTATTTAACAGGGGTGGAATGATCATTTATCCACATATAACTGTAAATCAGTTGTTCTCAAACAGCTGACCCAAACAGCCAGCTACCTTATCCGAATAAGCTGATAAGCCATGATAAGTTTTATCAGTTTATCAGGATAAGGCTTATCAGTTTATCAGGAGATTATTCAATAAGCTGCAGCTACCCCAAAACATACTCTTACTCTATTAGAATTAAATGAAAACATGACAATTAATAGGACGCAATGGAGAAAGAAGATTCATTTAGCCGACCCCAATTAGTGGGATAAAGGCTTGTTGTTGTTGTAATGTATGTCTATTATATTCATATTTTTTTTCTCTATGTTAGCAATATGTAAATGATTTCTTGGGTTAATAAGTCGATTAAAGTATTGTCAATCACATAATCAAGCAGCTGAGCAAATAACCGGTGATTAGGTACTCTTTAGATCCACACAAATCTTAGAGATCTAGCACTAAGATAGATTTCCTTTCTACTCCTTTGATAGAACTTAGCATCTTAAGAATAGGATTTTAATAAATTATAATATTTAAAAGCAAGAGTTGTGTTAATTAACTGTGCAAAATGTCTCTTCATAATCAAAATTAGTAATCAAAAACAATATTAAAACTTTAAAATCAAAGTAATTATAATATCCTAAGCCACTAAACTTGAAAACTCAGCCCCGATTTTCAACTAGAAGATATTAATTTGACGGTATTCTCAACTAAAAATTTTAGATTACTTTGTGGATATGCAAATGAATTTTATCAAATTGAATTATCACAATATAATATTAAATGAAAATATCTTTTTATAGAACTACTTACACTTAAATTACAAAAAAAGATCTTTTTATGCAACTAGTTGAATAAAAAACTTGATAATATGTAACAGCATAAAAGAAGTTGATATTAATTGTGAAAACTATGCAAATTGATTTGAAGACTTTAATTCTATCCGAAGGGATAGTTTTAGAGGACTTTGTTTGATTCAATATTGGATTTATAACAGCAATTCCTAACCGTTATTACTTATTATTTGTTTTTATTCCATCATTATGTATTTACTATTTGTTTTATTCCATGTTATTTCTTTCCTATTTATTTTATTCTGTTTTATATGTTTCTTTTATTATGTTTAGTGTAATTGGATTTAAATACCCCTTCTCCTATAATGTGTTGTTCAATTCCAAATCTCAACATGGAATCAAAGCCTAACCCAAGATCCAACAATCACCAACCTCCTCTATCGGTTCCAACTGTCATCGGCCTCTTTTGTCGATTTCAGCAGCCGCGGCCTCCTCTTTCGGCTCCAACATGCACAAGTGCCCTTTGTTCTAGCCACAGGTTTCAACAACTGAAGCCTTTGGCCTTCCTATCGCTAGTTCAAGTAGTTGTTGGTCCCCGCTAATCCAGTCGCCGCTGAGTATACAAGAAGATTTCAACTCTATTCCAACAACCGCAGGTTCAGCACACTCTTCTACCGGGTCTGCAACAGTCGCAGTTTCTTGAAGTCTTCTATTGTAACTAACATGCGTCAATTTTACGCGATTTTATCTGTATTATTTCCTGCATTTTATATGATAATTTTTAATTTATTTATCACAGATTTTACACTTTAGAAAGATTTTTTGTTAATTTGTGCAGGTTGTAAGGTTGAATACGAACAATTTAAAGCGAGAAAATCAAGCGAAAAGTTCCCTGTGCGGTGTGACCATTCCATGTATCGAAGGGTTGCGGCGTGACAAGGCCGCACTCCGATGTGACAACGCCACCCTAGCCAAACTATCAGCTTGACCACGCCGCTCTCGCAATTCTATGGCGTGACCACGCCAATTATGGATGTCACCATGCCGACGAGCGAGAAAGCATTTTAGAAAGTAAATTTGATGGCCCAAGAAGTGATTTTTGTTATAAAATAAACTCCTATGACTTCTTAGAGGGAGCTCTGCACCAGAGAAGGCTTGAAAGCTGCTAGAGACGAATTTATGGAGGGAATTTGAGTTCTCTCTTGAAGTTGATCTTCTCTAAAAGAGGGATTTTTGTCTTTGTTTTGTGAGTTGTGAAAGTTTTGTACGAGAGGAAGAGTTGTTGTCACAAGGAGAGAGCAAGTTCTTACAAGTTTTTAATATATTTGTTGCTTGCAATGTATTCCTTCATAAATTTTCTCACTATGATGTTATCTACGATGTGTGACTAAATTCTTTTTCGTGTCTCTGCGATGTAGGGGGCACTAGATTTATCGTAGTCTTTTCGTAATGTTTTTCCGTTAAGCTTTTTCTGAGTTTTCATGGTCATGTTGTTGGTTAACATTCGAACTTAATTTACTACTAGACTTGTCAACTAAGGATGTTAAAATGTTTCGTGAAATTATGGTCTCTAACCGTTGTGTAGTAGAAATGAAGGGTTAACTACAAAATTCTAAGATTGACATATTCAAGCAGAATTCTAAAATCATTCTAAGAGATCTGAAAAAGTAACGTGGAATGTCATGGGGCTTGAAGAAGCATCGACTTCATAGATTCTAGGTTTTTTTTGACCTAGCATAGGCATAAGGAGCATTGTATCTCCAATTGACAATACTCACGTAGAAAACATGTAGTAAAGTCACGATCGCCACGATCTTTGAATCCCATAGGCACGAACCTCATAAATCATGAAGAACTCAAAAAAGCCATTCCGTTTTTTTTTTTTGTTTTTTGATGTCCTCTCCTTGCTCTGTTTTGCTAGACCTTTAGGACTTAAAATTCTTTTTGTGATCACGTCATGCTAGGTTAGCTAAATTAATAAATTAGAGATTTCTCTACGGAAATAATTATTACATTTTCTCTGTGAGATCTATATGTGGTACTCTTTAACTGCATTACTCATTGATATGTGCACTTGCAGTGTACGATTGACTCGCCCCGCTGAAAGTTTTGGCGCGTCAGTAACCCTACCAAAATTTTATCGATGGCTCAGAACCACACCACTATCTCCTTTAGCTCGATCGAAATTACTGCAGATTCCTCCAAACCTGATCCACCTTCAGAATGTGTTATTGATTCCACCGGAGGATCGACCCCAATTTAGACCGAAGGATATGAAACCAACATGAATTTCTTAATCACAATCCATAAGCTGGACATTAACTTTCTTCAATGACCCCAAGCAGTATCTTTGTTCATAAAAAGACGTGAGAAATTCAATCATCTCACAAGTATGGTTCGTGAGCCTCCAAAGACTAATCCGGCATTTGAAGCTTGAGAAGTAGAGAAATTCATGGTCATGTCATGGCTAATCAACTCTATGGAGACTTCGATTGGTCGTTCATATATGTTCCTCACTTCAACTAGTGTCATTTAAACAAATGACTGTGATACCTACTCGGATGTAGAAACTTTCAGTGAAGTATCTAAGAAAATCGGGGAGGCATAAGAGAGTCAACGACTGTGACCCAGTACTATAATGATATTGTTGCACTATGGATGGAATGCGACGTGTACTACAACTACACTTTGAATTCTCCGGCTGACTTGACAGACACCTTTACGAAATCCGGGTAGTATTCTTAGTTGGGATCCTCTTTATTCCGCTTGCGCTTTAAACTAAAATTCGTCGATAAGAAAATCAGAGACATCTACACTTCAACTCAGGGGGAGTATTGGATTTATAATGACAATCCCTAGTCTTTATTACTTATTATTATTTTTAATTCCCTCATGTATTTCTTTTTTTACTTTGTTCTGTTTTATTTCTTTCCAATTCATTTTATTTTTTTATTGTTTTCCTTTATTATGTCTATTGTAATTAGGTTTAAATATCACTGCTCTTATCAATAATATATTTTGCTCTATTTCAAATCCCAATATTCAATCTACTTTTCCATTGACCAATTGTTTGTGATGATCCTACACAAAACCAAAGTACTATTAGCAGTTAAAAGAAAAAGTGCAAACAATATTCCTCATGATCATAGCCATCCATGTTTTCTAGTTAAATCTTCCGACTTCTCAGCTTATTGAATTTCCTTACCATAATCAAGACCTTAAGACTTTTACATCAACCTAAGTGCAATTTCCATCAACAACTTGTCCAAAGTTTCTCTGACCTTAACAGCAAATCATCTACATCAAAGAAACGTTAAATTTGAAAGCAATTTATAGGAGAAAAGACACAAGAAAATTGAGAAGCTCTACTTTACACTCTAAAAACCTATACCATTTATAAGGTTTCAAAATAAAAATTGAAATAAAATCCAAATCACATTTCAACTTTAGTGATTGCATCAAAATCCTCTGCGCGTTAGAACAACCAAGTATTTGAAAATTTGTCAGCCTCATTATTTCACTTCATTCAAGATGAATCCGAGGTGATCTAATTCCTATGGACAACATGGTAGGAATCCGTTCACATACCTTCAAATGTGTGGTACTTCAATAATCAAGGATGTCAGCCACCTAATATTTATTATCATTGAAAATGGTTACGACATATCTTAACTGAACTGATAAACACAATATCAGCATGCCAGAAACTTTGCATCCCTTAGATTGTCATGTTGTAGCCTCACATCAACACTCTTTTTTCTTCTTCTTCATAGGACATTGGAGAAAAATGATTCATCTAGTCAACTCCACTTTAGTGGGATTTTAGGCTTTTTGTTGTTGTTTAAAGAAGTTGTTATATTAAATTAGTTACAAAAGTGTTTATTCTATCCTACGAGAATTAGGGTCACCATTGTTTCCAACATTAAGAGTAAGCTTATCACAAGAATATTTTCATGATTAGAACTCGTGACCTCAAAATCACCATAGAACAATCTAACCAGTGAAGCTATATAATAGACATTACGAAATATATTTACAGAGTATAAAGATTGATAAGCAAGCTGGCACATAATAAACTATAAAATATAGCGAAAAATGGTTTCTAAAACTTTCAAATATAAGAAAATCGTACCAGCCAACATCCCATCACTTCTGTAGACCTCCACACCATGGAGACCAGCATCTTTCAAGCTCTCAATAACAAAAACTGAATTCTTCAAAGCCCAGGGATGAGCCAACGTTGCCACACCTCCCGAACGACAAATTAATTCAACAACAGACTTGGCTGATGGTTCAGCCCCCCTGCACACAGTAAACTAAGCTTTTGAACCATAAATTCCCATAGCTTAACCTTAATTAACATAAGGTGATCAGACATTTAAAGAGTCTGCTTACTTAGCATAAGCAGGTCCACCATCATACAAATATTTGCTAAAAGCTTGCTTTAAGTTCTCAACATAGCCAGCATCGACCATCGCCCTCGCAACATGTACCCTTCCTGGAGCCACCCCTTTTCCAGCTATATTTGCAACATCTTCCCATTTAAGAGGCATCTTAAGTTTGCCGAGCTTTGCCAGCATCTCTTTTGCTCGAACATAACGACCATCTCGAATATTGGCCAATAAGTCATCAAGTTCCTCACACATAGAGGGCCCACAACAGCCATAGTAAGCAAGAATATGTAGAGGTTCCTCTTCTCCCGGTTCATCCCTTCAATTGGTAATATGATAAATAAACAAATTGCATTACTAAATGAAGTGCTAAAAAAGGAAATTTGTTGTTTGAATCTTTTCTCTTGGGAAAAAGCATTCATGTGCAGAATACATATAAAATTAAGGCTCCATAGTCATAATTGTCAGTAGATTGGAGAAAAAATTCAATAAAATGAAGGCAAATTAGCTAAAAAGCATCTAAGTTGTAATGGTATTTTAGATAACTTCCTCTGAAAGTGCTTTAATAAATTTCAGATTATTTAATTATAAGCTAATTAAGATATTATACAAGGATTAAAGAATGATTACCCTGGAGAATGCACTGCGCTTATTTCAACACCTGGAATTATTCTCATGTTGAACTTTTGAGCAGCTTCTATGGCCCCAGGGATGCCAGCCATGGTGTCGTGGTCCGTCAATGCGAGTACTTTCACCTGTTGATTGAAAAAGTTTATACTTTTAGGATCAGTTATCCATTAATGGGGGGATTTACAAGCATACCTCACAATTCGCATATATTTGCATAACTGACATCTAAACTTTGATTTATACTTGTATGACACCCAGATCATTAACATCACAGGAAAATACTAACAGTAACTTTTATAAAATAAACTACATATTTTCATGCACTTTGATTTGATTATGACGCTAAATAATGATAGAAGAAAATATCAAAATTAGGTTAAAAATATGCAAATACATTAGAATTACGTGATTTGCAAATAAGGTTTATAAACTATCATATTGTAACGAACGGCTTCTAGCTCAATTGCACACTCACTGTTTCCAGGATTGTGATCAAAGATTTGAATCTCTTCTACATGTTTTAAGCTAGATATTTTTTGTATGGAGAATTCAGTCTGTAACTAGTTTTATGCCATTCTGTAATTAGCAATGTGTTTTATTTTTCATTAAGGAGATTTGCATATATACCACAATTTCTTAATGTATTTATACATCTATTTTTTTTTAATATTTATTTAAAACATCCAAATATTTAGCACCACATAAAAATACCACAGTCATTAACTTTTATGAATTAAAAATCACATTTTCCATGTGTCTACTTTTGGTTTGATTATGATACTAAAGTTTTATGTAAATAAATATCAAAATTGAGATATGTAAATACATAAGAATTATGTGGCATGTAAATGAATATCAAAATTGAGATACGTCTTTGATGGTTTGGTCAAATTAAAGGTTGACCATCTGATGATCCCATTAGAAGAGTAGATGTTTTAGATTCAAGTTATGTTAAGAAAGGCAGAGGTAGACCTAGGATGACTTGGGCATATTGTATAAAAAATGATCTTAAGTTATTAAAATTAAATGAAAATATGACACTAAATAGGACTCAATGGAGAAAAAGGATTCATTTAGCCGACCCTATTTAGTGGGATAAAAGTTTTATTGTTGTTGTTGTATCTAAATACCCCACATTAATTAGTAAAAGAATCATCTTGTAATTCTAGAAGCATGCGTCAACCTTCACCAGGCAATGAAGATTACAAAGAAAATTGTTCCAAATATTTTTGCAGTTGTTCAAAACAATTGCTCATCATTAAACTCAAAAGAAATCTGAAAAGCTGAGGTTGGTCGCAAGTTTTGCTAAAGATACCATGTTTATAACCGGAAGCCTTCTGCTCGGCAGGATTTAACAAAACATGAATTTAATTGGCTAAAATTAGACTACAAAAACACTACAATTTAAACTAATCTAGCTTAAATATTGCCTGAAATAAGATGCCAAACAACCCCAAGGTGAAAAGATATCAAATAAGATACACTAGTTAAAAAAAATCACTTTCATAACCTCCAACCAAAAGCAAAGCAAGGTGGTCCATTTTTGCAACGTTTTTTTGCAAAACTGGGTTGAAACGCCTCAAAAGAATGCAAAACAAACACAACAAAACAAAATAGAAGAAATTACAGAAAAAGAAAAAATTACAGAAAAATGAAGATGAGACAAACAAAGTTGAAAAAAAAAAAATCACTTCCATAACCTCCAAACAAAAGCAAAGCAATATGGACCATTTTTGCAATTTCTTTGCAAAACAAGGTTGAAAAGACTCAAAAGAATGCTAAACAAACACAACAAAACAAAAAAGAAGAAATTACAGTAAAATAAAGATGAGACAGACAAAGTTACTTCCTTTCCATAGAAAAGAAAATGTTGAAACTTGTAATGGGGTAAAGATGAGACAAACAAAGTAACTTCAACTTTCAGTAAGAAGATCGTTTTCTATACTTAACCCAAACAAAAAAAAAGCGACAAATACTCAACGAAATAAAAAAACATAACATAAAAATGATGCCGAACAACTTCCTTATTCACAGACGAAAAGAAAAAAAGCAGAATCCTTTTTCACAACAAAAAGGTCAATGCTTCATATTTTCCAGACATCTGCTACGGCAAAACATCAAACAGATAATAGCCAACAACGGACAAAAAAAACAAGCAAGAAAATGATAATACAGTCTATAACATACCAGAAACTCACCCCATTCCTATGAGCTCTCTCCACGAGCGCTGCCGGAGATAAGAATCCATCGCTGAACTTGGAATGCGAGTGGAGCTCGAATAGAACGCGGCCGGCGCCATCATCGGAGGGTTCGGAGTGGCCGAACGCCCACTCATGCACGTATCTTGATGCCAGAAGCTGCTCTGCCGTCACCTTCTTCTTCTTCCTTTTACGCCTCCTACGCCTGAGCTTATGTACTCCGTCCGTTGAATCCTTTTCAAGCTCGCCGGCGATGGGGAGCTCGGAGATGGAGGGCATTATCGATGGGAGTGGCATAAACTCGAAAAAAGTTCGTATCTTTGATATGGATTCGATTCGGAATGTATGGAGTGAGATCAATAACCTTTCTACGGGTCAGTGATGGTACATTTGCCGAAAATAAATAAATTGAATGCTTTGATTTTATATTATTTTTCAGTTCTTGTAGCGGCTCAGACGTATTCTATTGAATCCTGACTCGTTCTAGTCTTGCTGCCAAACTTTAACAAGCCTGACACATTTTTATATGTGCAAAGTCATAAATATTTTTATTTATATGTTTATAGTAAACTAAATTTAATTTTGTAATTTTGGTGTAGATAGAAAAAGGAGATATGAAATCAAAGCGGTTTCGGGCACATTTATCGCTCCGGGGACTGCTCAGAAATTGGCTATCGACAGAAGCAAAGATTCTAGTAATATGTGCCATTTTTAACCTACTATACTCCAAATAAATTACATACATAGCGCAGCTGAAATAAGTATTTACATATTAACATCTAAAACTTTATATTTGTATTTATAATATTTTTGTAGTAAGAAGGATATTTTCATATGACCTTAAAAAGTTGAGTCTCACGTACGCTAACATATAAAAATGTGTGGTATGTGTGTAAATTATTAAGTTGTTATTTTTTACCTTTTAGTCCCTAGACTTTTGAAATTTATTTTGTGGAGCTATTAAGTGGGCAGGATAGAATTTTTCTTTTGAGTTTTATTATGTGATATAATATCTCTAACAACTTTACAAACTTGTTAAGAAAATCCCAACATACATTATCAATTTTGTAGGCCAACTAATAGAACATTTCTAAAGCAAAATTTCATGTTATTTTTCTCCTTTTCATGGATATTTTAAATGATTAGGGGTGTAAATGAGTAAAGCTTGAGCTCGATTAATTAATCAATTTGAGATTCTCTACAAATTCGAGCTAGCTCATGAGCGGACTTATTTAAGATAAAATAGAGAAAAATATTAATTTAATATACCTTTACAAGAAAATCATAAACAATATGAGTATTTCAGAGGTTATTAATTGGAAATAACTTCAAATAAAATGTAAAATATTATTTCAATAACATTTTAGATAATTTTTTTAATTTTAATATATTTTTAAGCATTTTTTTGTTAACTATTTTTTAAATTAGTTCGCTGAGTGTTAAACAATATTTAAAAATTAAATTATTGTTACATCGATTTCATAGTTCGGATTTCTAATGCATCTGTATCTATTTTACGACCTGAGCTTTTCTACAAGTACAAAAACCTTGTTTGGTTGCAATTGATGGTAAAGGAAGCCCAGCAGCATGAAGACGAAGAGTTGCTCAGTGATCAGTAATGGAGGATGTGGGCCCATTGGGCTGACTTTACTGTTCCAGTCAGTGATGGGCACAGTGCTGATCAGAGGAGAGAGAAAGAAGAGAGGAGGTGTAAGATGCCGAAGGAGAAACTAAAGAGGAGTGAGAGTATTTCAAATGGTGGGGGCCACTTACTAATTGGGTGCTGCCAGGTCAAATTTGGTGAAATTATTAGATTGAAATTCAAAATAAACTTGTAATTAGGTGTATCACACTCAAAAAATAAAACTTATCAAGAACATATATTTTAAATTATAAGTCAATTCATATTTTATATATAATGTTTCACTATTTATAAAATAATTGTAAGCATCTATAAAATGTCTGTTATGCACTGATATTTTGGTTCTTAGAGGATCATTGCCTAGGCCGGGTGACCTCCTGGTTAATTGGCCGTCCAGCTGGTCGTTCTTTAGTTGGTCAATTAGTCATATTATGTCGTAATCTCACTACTTTGCTCTTCTTGCCTAGGCATATGTTTTGTTTAAGCGGAATTGATATGTCGGTGCGTGCCTAGCTTATGATTATTTGATCAGAACAAACGGCTTTTCTTTATACAAAATAATTTAATTTAAATTGAGACAAATGGTTTTGAATTTTAACTTATATTTTTATATGATACATTTTTAGGCTGCTTTAAATCTAAGTTGGATTCAAAATCTTTTAAGAATTACAATCCTTGTAGTGTTATTAACCTGATTGCTATAAGGAAGTTAATAAATTAAATATATATATATATATATATAAAGGAAAATCCTACATCAGGAGTGTGTGATATATATATATATTGATCACATTAAACTTAAGAAAAAAAAAATCTATGGTAATTTGACAATAACTTTCCCGAAAAATAATAATGAATCCAAACTAATCCCAACAGTGCTTTGATTTAAGCAAGGAACGAATCAGTTTTTGAATAACTATGCATACATATATCATTAAAGGCAACCAAATTGAGTTTGCATCTACCATATATGTAGACATACAACTGCAACGATTGATGGTTGTAATGTCTATTGCAAGCGGCGAGTGGTGTTGATTGATAGTCGGCAACGATGATGGCGGGCACCATGAGGCGTGGGGCAGGCAGCAATTGACAGTGCTAGCAGTATTATGCTGCAGTTTGAAATGTATTTACAAATCACATAAATCTAATGAATTTGAAATACATTAATTTTAAACTACAAGGTGGATTTCAATTTTACAATGCGTTCTGTTTTCATCCAACGAAAAGCCAGAATTTTCAAATCTCTCCTGCATTGGGTTTACTTGCAAAGAATGAAACAACCTCTTAAACTTCTTCATTTTTTCTATCAGTTTGGTTTGTTTTGTTTGGTCAACCTCCGGATGTAAAAGCTAGTTGTCAATTTTAGTTGGTGCTTGTATTTCGTGGATTTGAAAGATTTATGACTACAAATTAAATTTGAATCAATACACTGCAAATAAAGTTTTGATTGGACTGACCAAATTTGAAGAATTTGTCTTATTTTTATGCCATGGTTAGTCTTGTTGCGTACGAAAATTCTTAAAGCAGAGAAGTCATAAGCCTTCAATGAGATAACCCAACAAGTATAATTGCATAAGGATAGCTTGGAACTACTACTGTTGCAATTGAGCTACAAGAATTATAGTTAGTGATTACAGTAGCAATATTTTAATACACAAGTTATAGTTGGTGATTATAATAGTCATAGTAGAGTTGCCAAATAGTATTTGGAAGATAAAGTACTCGTATTTAATAGTATCTGAAATGGTATTAAGCTTTGGTTGAAGGCTATAAAAGTTATAATTGATTGCGATGGCTATAGTAATCGTAGTAGGGCTACCAAAGCTATAGTGGGAGGTCATAACAACCAATATTGACTACAAAAGCTATAATTGATGAAGTAATAATTGTAATTGGCTACAAAGGCTATAGTTGGAGGTTATAATAGTTCTTATTGGCTACAACAATTGCTAATTTTGGTTGAAGGCGACTTTTTGCAATTCACTATAAAACATGGTGGTCAATCACGATCTCAAGTGAGTAGTGAAAATAGCCGTGACGTCAAGAATTAAGCATTAATAGTTAATTCATTATCTTCTCCCCCTCCCCCCTCCAAGTGAATAATGATAGCTTATTCATAATACTTTTAGATGACATTTTGATCAATTTAGCTAGAATCTCATAAATTCTGTAGGACGGTTCACTTTAATTATTTTTTATAATATGTATTTTTTAAATATTTAAGTGTTTTAATAATCTCAATATTAGATGATGTTACACTCACTAGATTTTTCTCATCAAGCCATTTGATTTGACTATGAACATATCAATTTTTGAGATCATTTAATTTCTCATTAATGCACTAATCTTTGACTAAACTTTACCCATTCGACTAGTTTTTTGGACTGATTAGATAACTTTCAGTTTTATTGGATTTGTCTTGTAGAGACAACTGAATTTAACTATAAACTTAGTGGAGTAGGACCAGATAATCTTAAATTTAAATTTGGAATGTTCCTTAATCAAAATGCATTGTAATTAATGTTTGAAGTTCATGATGGCACATAAGTTTTAACCTAAGTATTTCTTATTGATCTAACCAAATTGTATTTGATTCATAAAATATAAGTTAAACTTAGAGTGGTCAATAAATAAATAAGGATTATGACCATCATACGAATTGCATATTGGTTCTAAGCTCTAACTATGAGAAAAAATTGATAGAAATATATATATATATATATAACCTAAAACATTAGCTACCAGTTTCAGAATTTTACCGCGTGTATTTTTTTTTTACGCACAAATATAAACACAGTTGTAATAAAATACATATTTAATATATGGGCTTTAACCCCAATTGGTCCTTCATTAGGCCTTTACTTTAGTATCAAAAACTTATGTGGGCTTCCGTTGCGGAACGCGAAGAGGGTGAGCGAAACGTAAGGGGGCGTGGGAAAGTGGGCTTACTGGGTTGTTAAGGCAACCATCCGTCAGTTTCAACGGTTTGTTTAAGAAAATTTAAAATTTTAAAAAAGGTTCAACTCAATAAACTTTGGGTGTTTGGTTGCAAGGAGGATTTAATATTAAAAAAAAATTAATAAATTCATAAATAAAAATTGGTTAAATTTATCCCATTACTGATTTTATTAAACCAGATTTAAACTATGAGACTTCGTAAATTCATGTAGCATTTTAATGTTTGGCTATAAATCCTCTTAATACGCACAACCAAACACCTCCTTAGAGTGCTTATGCTTGAAAATGCCAAGGGGTGTTAAGGAGCATCCATTAAGAGATTTAGTGCAATCAATGAGCAATTCTAATTATGCAAACTCTTAATGGTTGTACTCATTCTCGAGGGTAAAGTTATTTATTCATTTATATTACAAATATGTTCTTTCATTTAACACATAGTCTGTTAAATATCATATAAAGAAAAAAGCATCACAATAGATCATTTATTCTTTCTACAGTTTGAAGTAATTTTATAAATTTTGAGGTTAAAATAATAAAAAATAAAGATGAAATACACTTTTTTAGAGATAAATTAATTTATTTTTTAGTTGCATAAAAAAAAATAGTAACTTTTAGGAATTTTGGATATTATTGTATAGATAAATATAATGAAAACATTTAACATACAGTATTAAAGTCACTATTTTATATAATTCTTTTTGCTAAATGCAATGGTATAAATAAATTCAATGAATTATGTTAAATTTGACTACAATTTATAATTTATTTTGATTTTGTAAATTCTAAGAAATAATATTACTTTAAAAATAAAATAATTTCCGGCCCTTGTGAAAAAAAAAAGAGAAAAAAAACCACGACTTCCCAAAAATAAATAATTAGTAAATTATTGCCATTATGACGTGCCAAAAAAAGTAGGGTCCACAAGCTGCACCAGTACTAGGGTTTTAAGGTCTCCGAAACCACTATAAAAGACGGTTGATGCTTGGTGGGGTTTCAATATTCCGCCCAGGCGCCGACTGAGGGAAAAAAATCTGAGAGAAAGCAGCCAATCAATCCGCCATCGTTATTTTCTTCTTGTGAGTTTTTTCATAATTTCTTCTAATCACTAGTCGGCTTTGTTATCTTGTTTTCTAATCCTGACGCATTCGATTGTTATTGGGAAACCGCTGTTTCTCTAATCTAACCATCGTTTTTGGTTCTATTTGTGAGTTTCTAATTGATTTTTTCCGTTCAACTATAACCGATCGCAATATTTTCACCTTGTCTTGTGGCTTTGATCTATTATTTTGGAAGTCTGATGAATTGGATTGACGATCGAATTCATCAGACTTCCAAAACAATAGATCACATCGCTTGAGTTTGAGAGATCTAGAGGGAAAATCTGTGAGGTAGAGACGCATGATCGATTTTGGATCGTTATGGATTTTTTTTTTGTGATCGGCTTTCATGTCTGGTTGCGTTGTATGTTAGATCGAGTTTTTTTTTGTCTAGAGAGAATTGGATGGTAATCGATAATTTCAGATATGGCAGAGTATATTTAATATTCAATTTGATTTGAGAATCGGAATTAGATGAATATGTAGATTATAGTTCTTTTTTGTGGTAATATTCATTCCTAGGCCGTTAAGGTAAATTGCAGACTCTCATGGGATTGGATCTGGACGTGAGATGGCTCTGCATGCTTTTGATCTATGCCAATTTAACAATTTGTTGGTTCTGAATATACGCCTTCTTCTTCCCAAAATTATTAGAGAAGCCCTCTCATTTGTCAAGTGATGACTAATTTATAATACCATTGTCTACTTGTGTTTTTTCGTCGGTTCTAATTCCCTCATTTGCATTACAAACATCCTGATTTGACTCGATTTTATTGGATCTATATCAATTCCAGACTTCGTTCCTTAGCATGTTGTTCTGCTTTTTTTATTTTGGAATTTTTATTTTTTTTTCGATTTCCTTATATTATTACATGCGCATTTTTGTCATGACTTTTTTCCTTTGAAGTCTGACTTAAACTCCATCATTTTTTGAAATAAGAAGAATCTGCAATGGGAAAAGAGAAGGTTCACATCAACATTGTGGTCATCGGCCATGTCGACTCCGGGAAATCGACCACTACTGGTCACCTCATATACAAACTTGGTGGTATCGATAAGCGTGTGATCGAGCGGTTTGAGAAGGAAGCCGCCGAAATGAACAAAAGATCATTCAAGTATGCATGGGTACTCGACAAGCTCAAAGCGGAGCGCGAACGTGGTATCACCATCGATATTGCACTTTGGAAATTCGAAACCACAAAATACTACTGCACTGTCATTGATGCGCCCGGGCATCGTGATTTCATCAAGAACATGATCACCGGAACCTCTCAGGCAGATTGTGCCGTTCTCATTATCGACTCCACAACCGGAGGCTTTGAAGCAGGTATTTCGAAAGACGGACAGACTCGCGAACATGCCCTTCTCGCTTTCACTCTCGGTGTTAAACAGATGATCTGTTGCTGCAACAAGGTAACAAAATTTCAGCTTATAAATGCATGAACTCAGATATGTCTAGTTATTTACTTGATTTATTTTTGTACAGATGGATGCCACCACACCCAAGTACTCAAAGGCAAGGTACGACGAGATTGTGAAGGAGGTTTCTTCCTACCTCAAGAAAGTTGGCTACAATCCTGAAAAGATCCCATTTGTGCCAATCTCCGGATTCGAAGGTGATAACATGATAGAGAGATCAAGCAACCTGGACTGGTACAAGGGACCCACCCTCCTTGAAGCCCTCGACTTGATCCAAGAGCCGAAACGCCCTACAGATAAGCCGCTTCGTCTTCCCCTTCAAGATGTTTACAAAATTGGCGGCATTGGAACGGTTCCAGTCGGCCGAGTTGAGACGGGTGTCCTCAAGCCTGGAATGGTGGTCACCTTTGGACCTACTGGACTCACCACTGAAGTCAAGTCCGTCGAGATGCACCACGAAGCCCTTCAGGAGGCTCTCCCCGGCGACAATGTTGGGTTCAATGTTAAGAATGTTGCTGTCAAAGACTTGAAACGTGGTTTTGTGGCTTCTAATTCAAAGGAAGATCCTGCCAGGGAAGCTGCAAATTTCACTTCTCAGGTCATCATCATGAACCACCCCGGCCAGATCGGCAATGGTTATGCTCCTGTCCTTGACTGCCACACTTCCCACATCGCCGTCAAATTTGCCGAGATCTTGACCAAGATCGACAGGCGTTCCGGCAAGGAGCTCGAGAAGGAGCCGAAATTTCTCAAGAATGGAGATGCCGGTTTCGTGAAGATGATTCCCACCAAGCCAATGGTGGTCGAGACGTTCTCCGAGTATCCGCCGCTCGGAAGATTTGCAGTGAGGGACATGAGGCAGACGGTGGCTGTCGGGGTTATCAAGAGCGTGGAGAAGAAGGATCCGAGCGGAGCAAAGGTGACCAAATCGGCTGCCAAGAAGAAATGAATAGTGCATTGCTGTTTGAATAAGGACGAGCGGGAATCCATCGAGTTGGTTTCTGGTGTTTGGATGCAGAACTGGGTGCTTGACAGACGGTGGCACTGCTCTCTACAGTTATCTTTTTAGTTGTTGTCTTGTGTTGTTTGTTTCCCTTGTGTTCAAGGCTGTACTGCTTTTCTATGGTCGTATTATTTATCGCTGCTTATTATGATTGTACTGTTGTTGTTGTATGAGTTTGAATTTGATGTTATTTGAGTTTTTGCGTTCTATTTGTTTTGTTAATTCGGCTGCAATGTTTTTAACCATTTTATTTCCGTAATAGGATTATGTTAGAGGCCTTAACAAATGCCACATGATAGATGACAAATAGATCATATAGGATTATAGGATCTGTCTGGGACAACTCTTTTTCCCAGCTTTACATTTTTAGATTGCCACCATAGTTGTGGTTGAGATTATTATTCTTTGGCACACAATTCTTATTTATTTGGTGATTTTACCTACACACCGCTTAAAACTTTATAAATAATAAATTAACTACCAAAGCATTAAATATTTCAAATTAACTGGAACCCTTTTTTGTTCCAACGGCGAGGATGGCATGCCAATACAGCAGTTTCGCCTCCTTTTATTTTTGGGTTATTTGTATAATACATCTCGAACTCGTAACTAGAGGGCTTTTCACTTCCTCGAAAGGTTTTGATTGTGTAGAATCTTAAAAGATGCATGCCCGTGTTCATAGGCCAATCTTGAGCTCTACGAAGTTCGGCAATATCTTCAAGTTAGTATTGCTGAGAGAGAGTCAATTGTTTTGATGATATTTTCTCAAGAAAGTCGGCCATTTTGAACTAAGAGTTTTAATACCTTGGTTTACCGAACCAATTCTCCATCTACATATAAGATTGAATACAAATTCTGCAGTGGTTACAGAGATCAGGGTTCAGGCATAAGAGAGAACCTTACTGCCCTTTACAATGGAACTTATGTACAATTATTGATTTAACTTGCAATATCAAATCTTTGTTCATAATAAAATGGTTAATTTCTATTCATATCACAAGGCTAGTCAGGTTATTTTTTAAACAAATTAGCAATTTAGACTACAGTTGTGCGAGCCAGCCCAATTTCCACATGGAGGGCTAAAATTCAACTTATTGACAATCCCAAAAGTCAAATTTATCAAACTGTGTGCTCGAGCTCAAGCTCGAGCACAGATTATAACTCAAAACAGTTTAAGACCTCGGGTTCGAGCTTGATGATGCCCACGGAGTTAGCTCATGAGTTGGGTCGCCGGGCTTCAAATTCAAATCTATAATATTCACAATCTTATTGGTCCCTCAACTCCATCTTTAATAAAGGAGTTCCCACCACAACTCTTTAATTTTCATTGTTCTATGGACACCATTCCCAATGAGTTATCTTACTGATTGCTCCTGTGTTTATCTTATCAATGCCATCACCTGCAAGGCCCTAATGCAAATTCTCCCACTGGACCCAACAAATCCATCTCCTTCAAGCCAACTATTTATTATATTGTCGAGCCCAACTCAAGCTCAAGCTCATCAGCCTCTAATCGGGTAGCCAAGCCGAAAAATAGCCAACTATGACAAGCCCGACTCATTTACCACCTTAATTTGGCCTCATATAAATTCCCAAGTTTCCGGTGCCATGTATGTAATTAAATATACTGTAAAATATTTAACAGTATAAATGTTTAAAAAAATTGGTTTTTTACATATAGAGGTCCCCAAATCTTGTAAATTACAAATCACAAGTCCAAAAGATTTAACTTTCCCAATGGTTTGATCATGTAATTTGCCAATTGAAACACGCTTTTGAGGATCTCCGGCGCCTGCCTTGCTACATTAACTCCGAAAGTTATGGCGATTGGCTCGGTGCGGTGGCGAAAGATGAACTACGGTCTGCAAATCGAGTGGTGGATGTGATCCATCCACCCGGCGAATAAGAGATGGAGACGGAGGCCTTCACGTGTAAAATAAACATTCCGAGACCGTTGCATGTAATTTGATTGCTTTGGAGACCTCCATATGTAAGAACATCAACATGTACATACATAGATGTTGGTAAAAGCCCGGGAAAATCGCGAACAGAAATCAGTTTTTCAGTGACGCGTGGACCGAAGGATGGATTCAACGGTCTCCAAAAACAAAAAACAGCGTGTGTTAATTATGTCCCTTGTGTCCAAACCACCCCCCAACAAGGTCTTCAAATCCCTTCCACCTCACCCTCCTTCGTTCCTCTCTTCATCACGTTCTCTTTCTCTATATAAATATAAACATATTTTGGTTAAATTGTTTCTTCCTGTGCACGCCCCAAATTTAGATTTCGTTAGAAAATAATTGGATATATAATAAAAGAGATTGTGGACGATGGGTAGGGTTAAGCTGCAGATAAAGAAGATTGAGAACAACACAAATAGACAGGTGACGTTCTCCAAGCGACGCAATGGCCTCATTAAGAAGGCTTACGAGCTCTCCGTTCTCTGTGATATCGATATCGCCCTCATTATGTTCTCCCCTTCCGGCCGTCTTAGCCATTTCTCCGGTCGCCGGAGGTGAAGCAATGCTTCCTGATTAAAAAAAAAAAATTCTTTTTTTGTCTTTTTAGCAATCATCAGATCTACATTAAAAAAAAAAAAAATACTTTTGCACCATTCTGGATCGCTTTTCTCAATAAATTAATCAACTTTCCTGTTTTGTTGGAAAAATGGGGAATTTACGTGCCTAGCACATAATTCTTTTGTATATTTACAGAATGATACTCGGGTGTTTTAATCAATGCATGAAAAGGTGTAAAATATAAGAATTTAGGTGTGAGATTTGTAAATTCATTAGAATTGTTTGATGTGCGTGTAAATGTCCCGACAAAAAAATCTAGCACGACGTATCTATGTGGCGAGGGTTTAGGTGAAACTATTTTGGATTAATTTATTGCATAGCTTGATTAATGAATTTGTATCTTAATTGGAATCTTCGACAGGATTGAGGATGTTTTTGAACGTTATATCAATCTTCCAGACCATGATAGAGGAAGGTATGCCGTTCGGTTAAATTATATTTTATATTCCGTATTTATGTTATTTTATTTATAAAATTAATACTGATATCTCTTTTCGTTTTTTATTTTTTTTTCCTTCCGAATTTCGAAGCGGGGCTAACGTGAGCAAAATGGTGAGTTGGTATCAATTTGTGAATTTCCTCTTAAATAATTTGTACTTTGGGCTGTTAATTTTGGGCCCAACTGGGTCTGCTCAAATGGATTGAGTAAGGCTTGATATGATACATCGATCTTCCAATTTGGCTTTAAATTGAATCCAGCTTCATGCGGCTCAAAATTAAAATGAGCCGGCTCAAATTAATTTATTTGGATACATTCAACTCAAAAATCGGCTCGTGACTCTTTCAAACCCTAAACCTAAAACACTAAAACCCAGATACAATCTTATTTAGCATTATACAAAAAAAAATTTATAAATAAAGAATATTTTGAGCCGAACTAGAACCAACTCGGACCGATTCATGTATGAATTGAAAGTTTCGGTTCACAGCTTGGCTCCTTTTAATTTATTTCGATCATAATTAAAAGTTAAATCAAATGTTAAGTGATTAATGATTTTAGAGCTAAACTCACAGCCTTATTATTTTGTAAGTTATTATTGATTATTAATTTTTGCATGAATATTTGCAGTTTTTGAGAAGCACACTGAGCAAGCTCCGATGTGAGAGTGACATGGCAGCCCAACTAGCAAAGTAAGAACAAAAAATTATAGGCCATTACATTAAGTATCGCATTATTCAAAGCTCTTATGATCCTTTATTACTATTTAAATGTTAATTTGATTCAATAATTCTTATTTAAATTTTAATTAACTCATATTGATCTAAGTTTTTCTAACAAAAATTATATTGTATTAATTTCATCTAATTGTCATGTTGTTATTTATTATTTTCATGCAGCTCGGGAGCAGCGGACACCAGAGCAGAGGTATATTGATTGAAACTCTAAAATTAAAAAAAAAATGGAGTAGTTTACGAACATATATATCATTATATTTACATTTAATTTTTATATCTATTTATGCAACACCCTAAAATTTAAATCATATTAAAATATTAGTAATATTAACATATCTAAAGTAATATACTTGACTTGCATGAGTTTTGATGTGATTTGAATATTAGGGTGCTATAAAAATAAATATAAATATTTAAACATTATATGTAAGAATTTAGTGATGTGCATGTAAATATCAATGTGAAATATATATTTATTTTATAATATTTTATTTCACAATATTAATTTTTCTTAATACTTTCAGAAGCTGCAGCAAGAGATTGCTGAATGTCAACAACAGCTGCAAACGTATACGGAACGTTTAAGGTATATAGACTGGTGAAGAGCATATAATTAATACTTAATTATTATGCAGGAAATTTGAGTTATTTATGATTTGAATTAATTATAAATTTAATTTTTTTTTTTTTTTTTACAGATTATTTGAGGGTTTTCCTGCGGCAGCCCATTCTTTCACGTCCTTGAGTGAGCTCGAAGCAAGCGAGAAATTTTTAGCAGATGCCTTGGCTCGTGTAACAGAGAAAAAGGTTTGTTATGTAACATAATTTGATGGTGTAATTTTGAAGTTTAGCTTTTTTTTATTCTAGAAAGATTAACATATATACCACTTAATTCTTATGTAATTACATATCTAACACTTAAATTTCAATTTGTACATACATGCGAATAAAAAATATGCATTTCAACTTTTAAAAGTTAAAAAGGTGGTATCTTTGATGTGATATGAAAGATTTGAGGGGTATAAATATAAAAAAAACTAATGTTTAGGTGTTAGATATGTAAATGCATAAGAATAAGAATTGGGTGGTATATATGTAAATGCCTCGTTAAATTTGACCCATCAGCTCTTGCTCTTTTCAACATCGAATTAACTCACGAAAGAGCTGACTCATATACCCTTATCATTTTCGAGCAGATCTTGCTGGGCGATCCGCTCCAAGCCTACAATCCGTTAACGGCGAACGAACAGGTGAAGTAGCTTAAACAGATTACAGCATTACAGCTAATGAAATTATTCCACGTATAAATATATATATATGTTTTTTTCTTCATGCAGTTGTACCTGCAGCCTCAAGAAGAAGGAATGCTTGACGTCTACGGCTACGACCTCCAACCGTCGGACCCCAATACCTTTTCCAATCAAGGCCAACCAATGCAAATGACCGCGGATCCCCTCATGTCTTTCAGGTACAACTTATCGCCGGTACCCTTTTATTATGAACGTTCCAATTTTAACGGTTAGATTTTTATTTAACGAGGCAGGGATCAAGGGATGAACGATCCGTTCGCGGTCCAAATGGAGCAACACGTGCCAGCTACCACGTGGCAACAAGAGATCTTCGCGCCACTCAGCCCAACCCCACCGTGGCCATTACAACCGGTGCTTGATTGAACTAATCACCATTATTATTTTAATTTAAAACTAACGGCAAGGGCGAACTAACTGACGTCGTTGCAATGTTTGCAGCTGCTGGAGCCGTTAGAGATGGCAGAGCTGCCGTCAGAGGAGGGAGCGATGGCGAACTGCTTCCAGACGGCTCCGTTAGATTACCATGGCACGTGTGGTGGCGGGGTTTATGGGAGCCCAGCGGCAGATAATTTGGGGTGATCTTGGCCGTTCGATTGAAGGAGCTCCAACGTGTCATAATTTTTATTATGAGCTTATGAGAGAGAATATTTACATATCTTATAGCTAAACTTTCATATTTATACAGATAATGCCGAAATATGAGATGTGGTATGTCTGTAATTTTCCCTTCGGTTTTTTGCCCCTTTTTTTTTCAGTTTTTCGGCATTTTAATTGCTGAACTCGATGCGGTTTTATTGGAAGATTGTGAAAGATTTTTATGATGTATTGCAATATATATATTTTTTTATTTTAATTTGTTTTTATCTTTGGAAACATGCTTATTGAATTTAAATTTAGCATGCATTTTTTTAGTAACTATATTATTAACAATTTAATTATGTTTTATTCTGAATTAGAATATAAACAAAAATGGAATTAAATTTAAAAAAAGTCAAAGTGATCCCCCTCGGCAATTCAAGTGCTATTGTTATAATGGTATGGCGATTCTCATGTTATCATAGACTTGCATTCAATACTATTATAATATTATGCTGCCTCATAACATTATTGCTATCACTAGCGTCATCATTATTATATAGGAGCATTTACATACTTGTCACCCAGTTCCCATGTATCTACATATCTAACAATATGTATATATATACATATATTACATGAAAAATATCATCAATTGAACTTTTAAAGAGTGAAATACAGCTATTTTTGCATGGGTTGAGCATTATGCATGTAAAAATTAAAATTTAGCTGTTAGAAGTGCAAATGCATAAGAATTAAATGATATGTACGTAAATCTTCCTACTATGGGGCATTTACATACATACCATTCATTTCCTATGTATTTAATGTAACACCTAAGTTTTACCCAAATCTTTCATATCTCATCAAAAAATACCGCTATTTCAACTTTTTAAAAATGACATACACATTTGCATGCATAATACTTTGATGTCATAAACCTAGCTATGCATAAAAGATGTGAAATTTCACTTTCATAAACATAATAAAGTAAGGATTTGAGAGATATGCATGTAAATACATAGTTTAGGAGTAAAATATGAAATTTGTGATCCACGATATGCTATCGAAAAAAGTATTTCATACGAACACCGTATGCAAAATGCATGTGTCGTCCGATCTACACCGTCAATTACCGATCTCCACCGTCTGATCAAAAAATTAAAAAAAAAAAAAAATAAGCCCTCCGAAATACATCTTTACAGTGATCGAAAGTGTAGATCAGAGACCGCATTCATCTCTGCATGTGATGTCTGTATGCACCTCTGCATGCGGTGTCCGTATAAAATAACTTTTCATGCTATTGAGGTGTGTATGCCACTTATTTATAAACCTTATCAAAGCTTTGAGAAATTTTGGAAGAAAATTGCATTTTCATATTATTTGCAATTTTATCCTCTCATTTTTTTTTTATCTCATTGATGCTCAAATAAAATTTTGAACTTAAAAAGTACCATGTCACCAATTGTAAATTAATTTATCAAACTTTCGAGGCGCCAATATTCTTTTTGAAGTTAGAATCCAGATGGAAATATTAAATAAAAGCAGTCCCTGAGAAAAATTCCGCCCAATTCCCTTTATGTCATATAGAGGCTAGAGGCACATAAATTTTCTTTTTTTTTTTTTTTAATGGCCGGGCCTTTATCATTGATGAAGCAAAAGAGACGATCAATATTTAAAAACTGCCCATGGCAAGTGATAGAGGGAACATAGCACATTTGGAGTCCACATTAGCACAAAAGAGATTTCGCAGCAACCCTAAAACTGCAGCAAAATAAAAATAATTATGGCTACGATTATTGGACGATTGAGCAATCACATATCTTGAAAACTGCAGCAGAATAAAATATATTTTATGAATGTTAACCATAAAACAAAACAAACCATCAAGTGAATTAAATATATATATATATATATATATATATAAACAAAGTCGGGGGGAGATTAACAGCACAATGCATCACTTAAACCAAACATGATCCGCAAAAATGGTCCTTTTATATAAACTTCTTAAATTACAGTTGTTTTTTTAATACACTTTTAAAATGTAAAACATCTAATAATCTCGTTATAATATACGAGTCGCAAATGCATTACTACAACAACAGCTAATTACATGCATAGCATCCGAAACATTGTTGTTTATAAAATATAAAGTCCATGTGATATTTTTGAACCACCAACCGATGTATTTACGCATGCCACGATCAACCCATTGAGAACTTGATAAAAAATGAAAGATATGGGTTGGGGTTTTATCATGAATATTGATATTTAAGTGAGAATTAGAAAAAAAATGGATGAAAAGGATGTTAGATTTGTAAATAGCAATGTTTCTGGTGCTATGAATGTAAACTGTCCTTAAAAAATATATGGCTTCCAAATACCCAATGAAGCCATCACTGCACTCACACTCACAGCACAAAAAAGGAACTGTGTAAAAATCAAAAGAGCAGGCCACAGGCTCCAAAACCCCAATTATGTTGTGCGCACAAGTGGAAATTACACTTCAGCAAATATAGGAAGCAAAAAACTCCAAAAAAATTACAAATAAAATAGAAGCTATATCAGGCATAATACTTAATAAATAAGCTCAAGCCATAGAAGATTTTTAGCCTACTCTCTCAGGAGATGAAGCCCGACGAGTTCCACGCACTCCTTCCTTTCCTCCTGATTCAAACCATCAGCACTTGTAAGAATAAGAATGCCCCATCACCAGTGATGCACTCTCTAGAAATAAACTCTTCATCGCTGAGCAGTAATTTATAGTGGATTGTATTTTTTTTTTTTCCCCCAACTTTGAGATATAATGAGACTAAAAGAAATGGAAACAAAAATACCATTTTGATACCAACAGTATCATATATCAGTTAACTTTTCCTCACCCTTTTATGGTCCCTGTCTGAAAGATCCGACCATATTTTCTCATTTGGCTTTCTCTTTGCAGCCGAAACTTTTCCATTATTACTCTGCAACTTAAGAGAATGATGATCATGATCATCGAGGGAAGAGAGCTCCCCTTCTTCAGCAAACTCTTCCCGGATCCGATTATCAACATTTGGATTTTCAGATTTGAAATGTTTTGGTTTCATGCTCGTCTGCAAAGGATGGAGGGGCTTTGGCCAGCCATGTCTCTTATCATCCACACCGAGCTCAATTCCATTCTCAAGCTCTCTTTCAATAAGATCATCATCATCCACAATCTCATTTTTCTTGTTTGTATCATTCCGAAGTCTCCTTGTCTTTTCCAGAGCGGCTTTAACTTTGTCCTTATCAATCTTCGTGATAGTTTCCATACACTTGTCCTTATCGTCAGACAGTCCTTCCTCATTAAGTAGCTTAGAAGAGCTAAAACCATCAGCAGCCAATTCCCAGCGGCGAGAAACCAGCTCGGCCTCGTGATTCGAGTTATCTTTCCCATCACCATCCATATTATGGTCCCAAACACCGCTTTTACTATCAACACTGCCGTGGTCATTGCTATGGCTGCAGGCACTCCGGGAGCCAATACGGTCACCATCTGCGTTAGACTGTTGAGCTACAATTGGCCTCGTTTGTTGGGTTGGATGAGTTCCCTGCCTTGCATTTAAAGATATAGAGCTCTCACTGACAGTTGAGGTTACCCCTGTAGGATGATTGGGTCCAGCACAAGAGCTTCCATCAGCTTCGTTATTACCATGAGATGGTTGGGCTAAGCGATTTTGCTCATAAAGCTCCAACATTTGATTGCTTACATCTATGAGTAAGAAAATGAAATTCTTTTGGGATATAACAAAAGATTCAAAGTTTAGGAGGTCAAAATGATTTGATGGTAGAGTCAACCTTCAAGTTGTCGTGGTGTGACATCAAATTCTTGCCACCAGACTTTCTCTCCATCGGATGGAAGCTTCACCTTAAGAAATTTGGCAGCAAGAAAGATGGCACCAGCAGCGATGTGGTGGGGCTTAAATTGTAGGCATAGTGAGGTCCGCAACCTTCATGATATGGTTAAATAAATAAATAAAGGTTAAAAATTAAGGTAGAGTTAACTATCCCGAACAAAAAGCTATCATACCCGTCATTGACAAAATTCCATGCCACTTGAGCAAGAGCATTTTGCGCCACCTTAAACTTTTTAATTGCTTCGACAAGGGGTTTATAGGGATGGTACATATTTAGATCAAAACCCAGGGTAGCAAGAACAAGCCTTTCCCCCAATAAAATAAGCTCTTTCTGTTGCTCGTATACTTCCTGAAAAACAAAAGTGATGCAGCACTAAGCAAAAAGTAGGAGGAGAAAAAAAACAAAGCAGTCCATATACTTTGCAAAAAAAAGGACAAAATAGGGAAGGAAAAATGCTGCAATAATTCGATAGAAACAGAAACAAACTTAGAGGGATATGAGTGTGCAAGACACAAGTACCATTTCATTTTTGGTGGCTGTATTCTAATTAACGAAAAACTCAAGGGTACCTTCTGCTTGATTCTCTGTACAGCAGAAGGATCCTTTTTATGAATGATTTCGTAGGAAACAAGAATTACATCCTTCAGTGGGCGTGGAGTTTCTTCAACCTTTCCAGCAAGGAACATGCACACTGTTGCTATTGTCTGCAACAAATCAGATATTAAGCTTACAACAGTGAATGTTCAAGTGCAAAATCTGCTAAGAAAGCTTCAGTCAAAGATGCAAAATAACTGTGCCATTCATGTAAACATTTAGAAAGGCATGTGTTGGAGAGTTTTATTGCTCCAATTCAGCATCACTAAAATGGCGAAAGAGCTTAAATCAATATGAGTAGATGTGAAAATCATAAAGGGGCTTTTAACCAGAAGCGAATAAAATACAAGGATGCCACAATCGTACATGTATCTGGGAACATAGCAATTCAGTCCTGGACAATTTTTCTTTTAATGCTGCCTCAGAACAAACCTCAGATTATATATCCAAGGTTTCATTAGGAGCAACTTTCCATCACTTCTTACAATAGAAGATTCGAAGAGTTGAGCATATGTAGAGGACAGCCACCACCATACCCATCCTTATTGCTAGTCACAGCTGTGCAGGACCAATGCTCAATAATTTATTTACAGTTCATATAAACTACATCGGTAGGAGTCAGATATATTTCGCATTCTATGTTTGCAAACCTAGTCCCATCAATGCACCGGTCAACAAAACTTTTTAGCTACTTTATCGGAAAAAAAAACAATAACTAAATCTAGCAATGCGGAGCATAGCATTGTGGAAGTAACACAAGGTAGTCAAAGCCTATTTGGCTCACCTTAAAAGTAGAATGCGCTTAAAACATATTTGGAGCTGGCAGGATCCCTTGCTTCCATTTGTGATAGAGGAGTTTATGTTGTACCCTTAAATTGCCTCAAGAAAGAAGCCTTGAGCTAAAGCTTAGTATTGGGTTGGAATTTGGCTAAATTTGAAGAGAATCGTTCGACACAAGATTGAGTAGAGTAGTGAATAGCATGTTATAGCTAGAAGTAGTTTTGAAGATGAGCTGAGACCATTGGCAAATAGGGTTAGTAGATTCATGACTACAACGACTTGAACAATTTCAAGTTATGATCAAGAGCCACTAGAACTTGTTGTGGCAATAAAGTTGCCATCAATATTGCCCATAATCATGCCCAATATGAACTAAGAAAACAAGAAAGCTTATTGACTTTTCATCAAAAGGAAACAATTGAAGATGGTACACGCTACATTCCCTTATATTGTCTCTCAAGAACAAACAACTGACACTCTGACCAAATAATTGCCCAGGCCATTGTTGGAAAAAAAGACCGGCAAGCTTTGATTAGTTGATGCTTCCATGGAGAGTGTTGAAAATCCCATGTGCTTCTGTCGGACTTACTGCTACCAAATTTCTTAGAATTCCGCATTATTCTAGCACAATAAGGTTCCTATGAAAAGTTTATGTTTGTCCTAGCACAATAACATTGTTAGGAATTATGATAGAAAATAATTTATTCCTATAAGAAGTTATGAGGAATAAATTCTTTCCTTAAATTAAGGAAATATTTCATTTCCTATTTTATATTTACTTCCTTGGATTAAGAATTATTTATTTTCCTATTTTATGTTATTTCTTATACCTCTTATTAATTAATATAAACTAATTATTCGAGATATCAGGTGATATATCTTTTCTTTCATATCATTTTATTCTTATTATTTTTCCTATTATAGGATTCTTGTAAGAGTTATTTATACCTCTGTTCATATCAATGAAAAGAATAAGTATTCCGCATTATTCTGAATTTCAACATTGTATCAGAGCTCCCCCTGACACTTGGACCAGAGAAAAAAAAATAATTCATAAGAAATGGCCGGTTGGAAACGCAATCCCCCCCTCCCTTGATGCTTGGGCAGGGAAAAAAAAATACTGCAGGAGGAAGAGCCGACGATGGATTTTGCTGGCATTGTTCAATCCACGAAAGCGATATCTCCGACGAGATGATGATGAGGCGGGTAGCCCCCACGGCGTTGTCTGGACGACGGAGAATCACGGGGATGAACATCTTGCGGAGAATTAAGTCGGTGTTGATGCGACGAGTGACCGCGATGGCGATCATCGGTGTCATAACTGATGTCAAGATCGCTCCATCCGCTATTGTTGGCTGGAGGCTTGACGACCATGCTGCTGAGGTTGACGCCGATGGGCGGACCTGGAGATAGCGATACGGATAGTGCCTCTGGTTCGCACTCCGAGGCAGCATCGATATCGAACTCACGGAAGCGATCTTTATGATTCTTTCCATGGCTTCTGTAGCCTAACGAAGCGGTGGGGAATTAGGGATTTGTAGAAGAAGAAAAAATAGTCGTTTCAAATATCAAGATGAGTATCTCTCCCCTCCCGCCCAGAGAATGGCAGGAAGGGAGTCCGACAATTCTCAAAGGAGGGTCGGTGACTAGAGTACGAAACCTTGCACTGATATCATGTCAAAATTCAGAATAATGCGAAATATTTCTTCTTTTCATTAATATGAACGAGGGTATAAATAACACTTACAAGAGTCCTATAATAGAAAAAATAATAAAAAGAAAATGATATGAAAGAAAAAATATATTACCTGATATCTCCAATAATTAATTCACATTAATTATTAGAAGATATAAGAAATAACATAAAATAGGAAAACAAATAATTCTTAATCAAAAGAAATAAATATAAAATAGGAAAGGAAATATCTTCTTATATTAAGGAAATAAATTATTCCTCATACATTCTTATATAAATAAATTATTTCCTATTATAATTTTTAACACTCCCCCTCAAATTTGAAATGTATGTTAATAATTCATAACTTGCTGAATAGTGAAGAAAAATTGGTTGTTTGGATTATCGAATTTCAACAAACATAATTACCTCTTCTGCTTCTTATAGCTACAGCAGCACACATCCATTTGCGTTGGCTATTTTTTTTTCATAAAATATTAGCCTTCTTGACGTAACAAAATCAAGTAGAATTATGACATGTTTTTAATATGTTTAAGTAGAATTAGAACCATCCTTTATCGAGAGAGCACATGTCATGCTCTTAGATTTTGAAAAGCTTTATTCCTTATGATTAGCATTTAAGAGTGTGTTCACTTAGCTATAGATCCCTAGTCCCAAAAGCAACTTTCCCTAGATATTCAAAAAATATAAGATGATTTCTTCTCATGGAATAGCTACTTCAGTTTCAACCTTGAGAGTGTGATGTAGAGCTGATTTTCCCATCATCCAGCAGTCCATGTCCCAAAGACTATAAGACTTGCATGCTCCAAATCATTGTATATGACATCTTTTTATCAATCTTATGTTGTGTCATACTGACTATGTGATGGACTTACATTATGTTGGCGCCCTTCTTTTGTTGATTAGAAAATTTACTTGAACACCTATATAATAAATTGAGAAAATGAATAAATATCCTTAATCAAGAGTTTTCTTCACCACTTGTTCTTAATATACTTAATTACAGGGTTTGTGCTCACTAGTTCTTCCAAACAACAATAAAACTTTACACATTAGCGAGAATATTGCTATCAATGATTCTTGGATCATAGGTACTAAGTTAAAACACGATGCACCTGACTTTCTTGATGATTACCATCATCAAATAATTTTTCTCAATCTAGCAATATAAACCCACCCAATTCTGAGCTCGAGCTTACTCTCTTCAGTCATTGTTCATTAGTTTGTTTAAATTTCTTTTGCATTGTGCAAGCAAACACTACACAATAAACAGAAGGTAAGCAAGAGAACTAAAATTATTATCGTTGATGACAATTAATGATTTATATTCATGTTAATGAATCCAGAACAATTACAGTAGATCAAATTCAGCTGATTTTGAGTAAATCAATTTCAAACCATAATAAACCATTATTATTATGGTTAATAATCCCTTGAATAGGCTCCATTATATGCTCATCAGACCTATATTGGAATCTCTCTTAAGCTCAGCACAAAAAAAAACTAATGATCTGTAGCCAACTTAATGTCAATTATATGCTAAACGCACAACAGTTAATCAAATTCCCAAATGTTCATCATAATAAAATTCAACAGTAGTTGCTTTTAATAGCGAAGATGGAAAATAATACAGCATAATAGATTATTTTGGCATTAAGTATCTTCAATTTCACCTGGAAAAAATAAATATAAATCATGAGTTTTATGCTTACAATTAAACACATACAAAAACAACAAGAACAAAGCCTTAATCCCACTACGTGGGGTCGGCTACATAATCCTTTTTCTCCATTGTGTCCTATTTAGCGTCATATTTTCATTTAGTTATAATAAATTAAGATAAAATTAAGATCATTTTTAATACAATAAGCCCAAGTCTTCCTAGGTCTAACTCTGCCTTTCTTAGCATAAGTCGAATCTAAAACATCTACTCTCCTAATTGGATCATAAGATGGTCGACGCTTAATTTGACCAAACAATCTAAGACGACTTCCTCTAATTTTATCCATCACAGGAGCTACACCAACCCTATCACGGATATATTCATTTCGCATTTTGTCCATTTTGTCTCCTTCTCTAATTTTGTCCGTCACAAGAGCTACACCAACCCTATCACGAATAAATTCATTTCACATTTTGTCTCTAAGTGTAAAGCCACTCATTCCCCTAATCATTCTCATCTCGGTCTTATAAAATTTTCCTTTCAGTCTAAGCAGTACTTTTCTATCACACAAAAGGCCCGAAGCATTCCTCCACTTCAACCAACCAACTTGAATTCTACTATTAACATCCTCGTCTATATCACCATCATTTTGAACAACAGACCCGAGATATCTAAATCGTTAACACCTTTTAATAATGAAGGCCTTTAGACTCCAGTGTAGACCTCCATAATTCAAGTTTTTTCCGAGGTTTTTTTTGGGCTTTTTCTCTCGTTTTATCCACGAGAAGAATATCATCAGCAAAAAGCATACACCAAGGTACATCCTCTTGTAGATGTCCAGTAAGACCATCCATAACTAAAGCAAAAAAGATATGGGCTTAAAGCCAATCCCTTATGTAATCCAACAGAAATAGGAAAATATTTGGTCAATCCTCCTTCAGTTTGAAGACAAGTAAAAGCCCTAGTATACATATCTTTAATTGCTTGAATATAAGTCATATCAACATCTTTCTTCTCAAGGACTCTCTGAAGGATATCTCTTGGAACCTTATCGTAAGCTTTTTCTAAATCAATAAAAATCAAATGTAGATTCTCCTTATTATCTCTGAACTTCTCCATCAAACCTCTCAATAAATGTACAGCTTTCATAGTAGACCCGCCCGACATAAATTCAAATTGATTATGAGAAATCTTTATAATACGTCTTAACTTATATTCAATTATCCTCTCCCATAATTTTAAAGAATGACACATTAACTTAATCCCTCTATAATTTGCACACTCTTGTGCATCACCTTTATTCTTAAAAATATGGACCAAATTACTCTTCCTCCACTCCTCAGGCATCTTTTTAGTTTTTAAAATAATATTAAAGAGTTAAGTAAGCCAAGAACTCCCAAATCTCCTAAATATTTCCATAGTTCAATTGGGATATCATCAGTTCCTACAAACTTTCCACCCTTAATTTTCTTTAAAGCCTCATCAACTTCTTTTTTACTAATGCGACAGTAAAAATGAAACGTTTTATTATTAATCATATTAAGATCACTGAGGTTGATCGTATTTTCAGAAACTTCATTAAAAAGTTTATCAAAATAACTCGCCCACTTTTATTGAAAATCTTTTTCTAAGAAAAACACTTTTTTTTTTCATATTTAATACACTTTACTTGAGTTAAATCTTTAATTTTATTTTCTCTTTGTTTGGCTTGTTTATACATATATTTTTCACTCTCCTTAGTATATAATCTATTATAAATATCATTAAAAGAAGAATTTTAGCGTCACAAATTGTTCTTCTAGACTCCCTACGGGTTGTTTGATATTTTTTCTCATTTTCTTAGCTTTTATTTTTAAATCAATTTTTATAACATAACTTCTTATATTTTATCTTTTCTTACACATTATTATTCCACCACCAACTATTTTTATTTATAGAAACTTTTTTCTTTTGATTCTCCAAGTACATCTTTTGCTACTTGTTTAATAGTGTTTGTTACTTTATATCACATAGCATTTGCATCATCATGAACATCCTAAATATTAAATATTAAATTTTACTCATAAAAATAATTTTATTTGTGTATTTTAGGTTCCCTCATCTTATTCTTTATTTTACAACTCTTCAACTTAAAATATATAACTAATAAACGACGTTGGGTAATTAAATCCTCACTTAGAATGACATTTACAATCTTTACAATCTCGATGATCTCTTATTCTCATAAGAAAATAATCAATTTGTGTTTTATTAGATCTATTCTTATAAGTAATAAGATGATCATCCCTTTACTTGAATAAAATATTAGTAATAACAAAATCCACACAATAAAAAAAAATCTAAAATGACTCTACCTTCTTCATTAGTCACTCAAAAACTATAGCCACCATGAATATTTCTGAAATCTTCTACCACTCTACCGAATGTTCATTTAAATCTCCTTCAATAAAATTTTTTTCTTCAAGAGGTATCATTTGTATTAAGCCTTTCAATTCATTCCAAAATATATCTTTAGACTCTATATTTAAACCTACTTGAGGAGCATAAACACTTATAATATTAAAAATTTTAGTTTCAATGATAATCTTAAGGGCTATAATTTAATCTTCAACTCTATTAATTTTTACAATATTATCTTTCAAACACTTATCTATAATTACACCATCATTTCTGGTGCGAATCTTACCAAAATACCAAAGTTTAAAACCTAAGTTATCAATCTCCTTAATCTAAGTTACAATTAAACACGTTTAAGTTGAAATTTTCATGTTTGTTATATAATAAATGCAACATCAGCACCTCAACTAATTAAAAAAAATGCAATAATTGATTTGAAAAATAACGATTTCATACAAGTTAGTTTTGTTATTTCAAGCAAATCAATTGGAAGGGAACCATAATTTTATATAAGTGTAAGTTTAAACATAATATCTTTAATAATAATAAATCGTTTCATTTTTATCGTCGCATTAGTAAAAAAGAAGTTAAGGAGACTTTAAAGAAAACTAAAGGTGGAAAGTTTGTAGGACCTGATAGTATCCCAATTGAAATGTGGATTGAAGTGTGGAAATATATGGGAGATTTAAGAGCTTATTGGATTACTAAACTTTTTAATATTCTTTTAAAGACTAAAAAGATGCCTGTGGAGTGGAGGAAGAGTATTTTGCTCCCAATTTTTAAGAATAAAGGGGATGCACAAGAGTGTGCAAATTATAAAGGATGTGCAAATTATAGAAGAATTAAGTAAGTTGATGTCATAATTTAAAATTATGGGAGAGGGTAATTAAACATAGGTTAAGACGTATTTCAAAGATTTCTCATAATCAATTTAGATTTATGTCGGACAAGTCTACCATCGAAGCTATACATTTATTGAGAGGTTTGATGGAGAAGTTCAGAGGTAATAAAGAGAATCTATATTTGATTTTTATTGATTTAGAAAAAGCTTACGATAAAGTTCCAAGATATATTCTTCGGAGAGTTCTTGAGAATAAAGGAGTTGATATGACTTATATTCAAGTCATTAAAGATAAGTCATTAAAGATATAAGTCATTAAAGATATGTATACTAGAGTTGCTACTTTTGTTCGAACTGAAGAAGGATTGACCAATTATTTTCCTATTTATGATAGATTATATTAACGATCAGCTTTAAGCCCATATCTTTTTGCTTTAGCTGTGAATGGTCTTACTGGACATTTACAGGAGGATATACCTTGGTGTATGCTTTTTGCTGATGATATCCTTCTCGTGGATAAGACGAAAGAAAAAGCCCAGGAAAAACTTGAATTATGGAGGTCTACATTAGAGTTTAAAGGCCTTCATTGGAGTAGAACTAAAACCGAATACATGGAATGTAATTTTAGTAGTAGTAGCTCTAGTGACAGAAGTGTAACATTCGGTGATCAAATTATTTAAAGGTGCGAACGATTTAGATATCTCGGGTCTGTTGTTCAGAGCGACGGTCATATAATGTGGCTGGTTAATAGTAGAATTCAAGCTGGTTGGTTGAAGTGGAGGAATTCTTCGGGCCTTTTCTGTGATAGAAAAGTACCGCTTATATTGAAAGAAAAATTTTATAAAATGGTTGTGAGACCTGCAATGCTCTATGGAGCTGAATGAAAATATGACACTAAATAGGACGCAATGGAGAAAAAGAATTCAGGTATCCGAACCCACGTAGTGGGATTAAGGCTTTGTTTTGTTGTTGTAAGTTTTAACTCAATCCCCATTGAGCTTGAGCGATTTTGATACAGTTGTACAGATGAGAAACTCAAGCATGCATGCATGCAAAGAAAATTCAAGACAACTAATCTTGAAAGGAGCCTGGCAAATACTACAAGAAAAGCCCAATGTTAATAGAGTAATTAATACTTGCAAAATTTGTCCTAGCAAGTGGCAACTGTATTAAAAAAAAAAAAAAGTGGATCAAGTTAGTATTGAATCTGCCAATCAAGGAAGTTGTTTTTGATGAAAATTTTGGATTGGGAACATAATCCTAGTATGACGATTTACATGTTTTTCTTTTCCACAAATCTCACAAGCTCAATGGGAAATGAGTTAAAACCTACACTTCTATAAACATATGGTTCCTTTCAAATTGAATTTCTCGAAATGGCAAGCTAACTTATCTGAAATCGTTATGTTTAAAATCAATTGTTGCATTTTATGAAAATAATTGCAGTGCTGATATGGCGTGTATTATAGAGCAAACATGAAAATATCAAAGAAAATTGAATGTGTTTAATTGTAAACATAAAAATCATGAACATGCATTTTTTCAGGTGAAATTGAAGATAATTAATGCCAAAATAATGTATTATACTGTATTATTTCCCATCTTTGCTATTGAAAACGACTGTCTGAATTTCAATTTGATGAACATTTGGGAATTTGACAGCCAAAAGGCACAATAATAACAAGTTATTGAAGCAATCCACCATATTAATGTAGCTCAAATTCACTTGAATAACACCGGGCAATATTAAAGGCATAAAATGCAAGCCGAAGTTGGAAATTTTATAAGAGGTTGAAATCATGCCGCATAAATAACATATAAAATGAGGTTAATTGAGAGGCTGCTTAAGCTAAAATTTTGGAAATTTTCTCTTTCTGTTTAAAATAAAACTAAATAATTATTAAAAAAATGAAGAACGTCAACTTGAATGAAATACTAACCCTCCGGTCATTTTTTGTGTGGGATTGGCGAAGAAAAAACCGATGACAAAATACTATGGCAGTTGCTATTGTCACCTGCGGTCTGCAAAGAAAATAACAATTCAGCAGCTCTAGAAATCATTAAAGACATGCAATTACCCACAATATCAACAACACTGCCAAAGTTCTAATTATAATATGCTCATAATACAAATCTGTACTTTAAATACATGAAAAATAATACATATATTCATGCTTTATACATTGTCCTGGCAAGGCTTGAATATACTTACGCAGACAAGCTGGGCCACTAGATGGTCATAAGCCTATCCAGTCTGTTCCAGAATTTTTTTTTCAAGCAAATTACCTATAAAATCAATGTTATGTCCACTGTCAATTGAGAACTCATGAATTTCTTTGAAGTTTGACTTATCCGGTGTAGAAAGCAGCACTTCCAACGTACACAAATTTCAGCTGCTCTTCTGGCCAGCCTCAGTAATTATGATGCCTTGTTTATGGTTCCATCTTCTTGTTAACAGTTTTTTTTGTCATGCTTACAATTGAATAAAAATATACCCAATTAAATACCAGACGTCTTCCATTGAAATTATTTCATTAATGTAATATTTTCATCTGCCTGCCTTATTAGAATTTAGATTTGGAAGATTTTGCAAGGTCTTATCAAAAGAGGCCGTCAAGTTAATTCAACAATGACAGATGACGCATTTTTTTATTGATGACACTTCAAGATCAGTTAGGATCTTTGTCGACTACAAAACAATTCCATTACCCTCGTTGCAAATTAGATGACAACAACAAAGTAATAGCATAGTATCCCATTGGTACGGCACAAAACTCATTGAACAAATTGATGATCACTCAAACTTTACTTGCTTCATGAAGTGGATTGTGTTGACATGTCAAGAACATCAAAATTATGCAAAAATTATTACCAATTTGGCTGAATCATCACATGAGAGAAATTCACAAAAATTTATTTATGTATGAGATAAAGACGAAACATTAGTGGGCAAGGGCAAAAAAAACTTGCAAGCGATCAAATATATGATCAACTTTAATTCCTTTTTCTTAATTTATCTAATATGTACCCACTAAAGTTTAGTCTTTATCTCACAAATAAAAAAATTTTGTGAGTTTCTCTCATGTGGTGGCCAAATTTAACTTTTTTGCATAATTTTGACATTCTTGACATGTGGACGCAATCCACTTCATGAAACAGAGAACTTTTGAGTGATCAACGATTTGAGCGGTGAGTTTGAGCTGAACCTATGTGCTACTATGCACTTCCTTTGTTGTTACCATCTACTTCAACAGCGAGTGTAATGGAATTGTTTTGGTGGAAGCGGTCAAAAAAATAATCAGCTTTAATTCCTTTTTAGTTTATCTAATATGTATATATGTACATAAATGTTTATATGCATATACATATCCGTTTCCCTCCCATTCACTCTCCACAACTTCATCTCTAACTCCCACTCTCTCAATAACAGCAGTAACAAAATATATTGTCTCAGCCAAATGCTCGACTTGGCCTCTACCTTATCTTTCTTACTGAATCCGTAGTCCAAGAAACCATCATGTTTTCCCTTCTTTCTTTTCCCAACCACCCCTACCTGATTTCTTGACACCCCCATCAACACTGGAGCATGGAAGTCAAAAAGAGAGCTCATCGGCAAAGGCACCCAAGGACCCATTTGCATGCTCACAAGAAGAGGAGGTTGCAAGCCTTGTGGATTTATGTTAAATACATCACTACTGGATGCATTTCTCATATATTAGGGTCGAAATTATCAGATGAGTGTGGGTGTGGGTAAATGATGTTGTGCTTGGTGAAGACTAAATGGCCGGCAAAGCAACAATCAAGATTCTTGTCGATGTAGATGTCGATTTTTATGTAAATACAGGTTATGAGCACAAGTCAACAGAAACATGAGCATGGTTTGCTTTAATATTAAACAAATATAGAGTGGAAGTGTTGAAAGGCCACTGAATGAGAAGGGATCGAGAATCAAATGCCTTAATGGGGAACCTAGGATGATACAATTATGAGTAAAAGAATGGAGACACCGGAAAGTTGAAGAGGGAGAAGATAAAATAGAAAGGAACCTGAAAATAAATGGCATTCCATATATTTCTCCAAAATACAAAATAAGGCTCCCCTTCTATAATAAGAGGATACATGTAAGATCAAATTTAAAAGCAAACGTAAACTTATACAAACAACATAAAATTATACATAAGGATAATTAAACATAATAATCAACTAATAAATCCTTAAAAAATCATAATGTAAATGAAAATAAATCCCAACTTAATTTATTATGCTGCAGCAACAATGTTTATGCTATTTGAAAACAACTTTGTTTATATATGCCAAATTTCTTAAATACATAAAAAGTTTCAAAAATAGAAGCAACTATCAAAAAGATAATTAATATAGGAAATAACTTTACAAAGATAATATGCATTACATATATTTTAATGGATGTGATATTATATGGATGATAACTTCCCAAAGCATAAAAAAAAACTTAAACTCATCCCAAGGGTTGTAAATGACCAATGCACTTGACCACAAATCGAACTCGGCTCGATTAACACTCGATCATGTTCATTCAAATTAGTAAATAAACAAGCTTGAATATTTTTTTAGAACTCGAAGGTTAAGTGAACCAAATTTGAGCATAGGCAAACCTATTTATTAATGTTCACAAACAAACTCATTTTTTATTCAAAACAACAACAGCAAAACTTGATCTAATTTAATTATATATTTAAGGGCAATATATTGTAATTTAATATCAAAACAACAACAACAAAACTTTACCCGGCTAAGTGGGGTCAGCCACATGAATCCCCATTATGTCTTATTGAGAAATTTAAGATCAATATGCATATAAATCGAATGCAGTTTATTCTTAATCTTTTTATTTCAAAGATATAGTTTGTTAGTACTACTTTACATAATTTCATTACAAGAAAAATTATTTACAGTTATATTACTTGGTAAACTTGTTAAATGCTAGTATAAAATTTATTCAATTGTTGGCTTATTAATATTTGTAGAATAATTGGCAATAATTTTATATAAAAAATTAAGTATTTTTTCTAATTTTTAGTTTGCTTATTAGCTTTATATGAAAAACCAACTATAAATCAAATTTTAAATTTTATATTAAAACTAAGTGCTTGTTCAATTAATATAAACAAGTCAAGTATGAACATTAACAAGTTTAAACAACCAAATATGAACATACATACGAAAGCCCGGTCAAACTAGAACCAAATATAAACAGTTTATGATTTAACCAAACAAAGTTCGATCTATGACATACACAACTCGACACGGCTCGATTACAACGCTAATCATCCCTACTCAAGCCTTTTTACTTAACTATATAGCTTGTAATGCTTTCCCATTAGACTTGGTAGATCATATTGTTGCCACTACACAAGCTTCCCCCCATCATGCTACATAACGAATTAATAAACGGCACAAAAAATGCCTTCACTTAGCCTAGAAAATCTATCCCAAGAACCAACTTGAAGTCGTCCATTAGTACCACAAACAAGTCCAAGAGCCCATCCATGCACCACGAGTGGTTTTCAAGCCTCGAGTTACACCTTAAATTGGTTTGGCCATAGATTTGACAACTTTTATTGAGCTACCTCTGACATTGGCCTGAAGGCCTGATCTATGAGTTGCTTCGATGAAAATAAAGTTATGAATGCATCAATAAACTAATGCCCTTTCGTCCTTCTAGTTGATTGTGGCATACACAAAGAAAAGTCCTTGGGCTAAAGTTATCATAATACTCACTAAAGAGATAATGAACTAGGTCGAGTAACCTCATTGTTACTTCCAAATCCTTGATCATCAAGTTTGGCGGTCAATTCACTGAGAGCCTTCATCTTTAGACAATCTCGTGTTCAATGAGGGCCACCACACCAGAAGCGTCTCTTTTAAGGGTTTGATCAATCAAAATTTTCTTTTTGCTTGCCTTTATCCCTTGGCTTTGAGAAACTTCGATTATGATTTTGATTGTCTTCCTTTCGAAACCTCTCCTATTCTATCCCCCATATTTTTCATTGTTGCATTCATTTTCTCTAAATTTGGATCTCATTTTAGTTTGAATGATAAATTAAGCTTTCAGTAGTTGCCAAAAAAAAAAAAAAAAGATTCCCTGTGCCTAGTGATGCCTTATCTCCATCTCAGACAGTGGTAGTTTATCGATGAAGTAAAAGTCTTTAATGGACAAATGGGGAATCTTAAATACAAGATTAGTGAGGTCCTTCACGTAAACTCAAAAACTTCTCAGTTGCTTAGATTTTCATAAACATCCATGCATCTCCTCTTCAGTATTCCACAAACAAAATTGCATTTTAAGCTCAATATTAGAGGCATAAAACAAAATAAAATAACATATACCTCTTTTTATATATTCTTGTCGTTGACACCACTAAAGCAAGACAATGTTGGTAAGATATAGAATTGAATTATTTAGTTTGGTCCCATTATCTAAAATACCCACAATATAAAAAAATTTCTTTAATCAAAATACGTTGTCTACCTCCTGAGCATTCCTAGTACCGGCAAAGCTCTTATGTTTTGGAATGTCAAGCTGTCAAGTGCCCATCATAAGAGTCGTTGTACCAATAAGGATAGCCTTCTTACAAAAGGCTAAACCCCACATGCTTTCCTCCGATTAAGCAAGTTCCCTATCATACGTGTCTCGCAACCATGCTACCTCCGCCATAAAATCATCCCAAATAGCATATAAATCTACTATGTCAAACTTTTCAAACTTGGCCAAGGCTTCACACGCCTCGTCATGGATTTTTGCTAAGTCTACATCTAGTCCTTCGAACCTTTGGTCTATTCCTCAATGTGTGCACCCAAATTACTCATGCTTTCCTCCACTAAAATCAAGCATACCTTAAACCTGGATATTACGTCCGTGGACTTACCCCGTGCTTTGGGTATGATAGACTCCATTTGTTTATCATGACGATGTCTCCTTGACGCAAGGACTCTATGTAGGTGGTTTTTGACCGACCAAACCATTTGATCCTTAGATTTTTTTTTTTTCATCACCAAACCATCTCTAATGCCAGCTATCACGCCCTTACTCTTTTAGTAAGCAAATGTGTGGCTTTTCAAGCATTAAGAAAGCCTAATTTCACCCACACTTGTCAACAACAACAAGAACACAAGTCTTTATCCCACTAAGTGAGGAATTTCACCCACACTTGTAAATGCTAAAATAGTCGTAAGCAAGACAGTTGGAAAGGAGGCTTGTATTATTATGAAGAAAAAATAACTTATGAAAAAAACATGAAAGGATAAAAATGGGGGGAGATTCTCTCTATTTATAGGCCAAGGAGATCCCTCCAAAAACATTCTAAACTTCATTATAATATTTACTCATTCTAGAATTCTCTAGACACATCAAACAATCCATAAATTTCTAGAGTATTCTAAATATAGAATCTATCTCTAAGATTATTAAGCATTCCAATGTTCTTCATAGCTCTATAAAATTATTTAGAACATTCTAAAGATATGATAATATTGCTCACATTAAAGTCCATAGAGCGCAAGCCTCGTCACAAAATTGCTCGAAAAGTGTTGAGGTACATCAAATTACATTATTTTAAACAATGAATGTATGTAATAATAAGAAAATATTTTAAAAATTGAAAAGTAAATTTAATAAATAGAAATTAAATAGACAATGTTTTATGAATCCCAGGTGTTCAGCCATATGTAAAATTCACTTCCATCTAAGATGCTGTGGCAAACGTAGTAGAAAATGGATTAATGGTAAAACTAAAAAGGTTCAAATGAGAAAAATTTATACTACTACATAACAGTCGAACATGTTCAAGGTAGGATGGGAAAAAAAATACAATATTTTGACCATGTAGTATTTGGTACAAAATGCAACAATAACAAGATTGATTAATGAGCCAGGATAGCAAGTAAATCAGATGAATCAAAGATAATAAGTCCGAAAGTTCTACAAAACAATTATGCAAATAAAGTTACAACTCATGCGGCTTTCAAATGAATGAATGGAGGAGAATAGAGAAAATCAATCCTAAATGGTTAGAATAAAGCTAATGATAGTAATGATAATGCTGAAAAATACTTCATCGGACTATAGTATGAAGGTGCATACGGGATTGAAGCAACAATATCTGAATCACAACATGTTAATAAATTTGTTTTGGAAACTCAAACTTTTCAAATGCAAGCATGTTTGAATCACTTTAACCTTTTCCAAAAGTGTCTTTTGGCCAAACCCAAAAGAAAGGTAAGGAAATTGTGTTACAAATAAGCAAAGACAGCTAAAATTTTACTTATTTACTGAATCAAACAATTCATATGCACTTTAAAATTTTATATAAAAATTTTAAAACATAGGACAAAAAACTAAGATTCAATTGTTTAAAAAATAAGAGCTTTTAAATTATCAATTTTTACACAAGTGCAAGCAAATTCCTCATCGCCATCACAATAAAAGGCCCACTTTGAGCACTTCTATCATTTACTATGTAAGAATGTCAAACATTCTGAGTGATTTAACCTTTTAAAAAATTAGCAAGAGATTGAAAATAGAAGGTACTCCAAAAAAGATGTGCTTCTTCAATGTTCCATGATCGACGAAAAGACAAAATTGTTAATTTTAGTATCCTGATAACTCTACTGAATGTTTATGTAACAATAAAACATTTAGCATACACTATAGAAAAGATTTCCAATATTGATTTAATATCTAGCAAACCAAAAATTCAGCTTAATCATAATATCATGATTATTTAGCTTTTTCTCGCTAATTCAGTCAGCTTTCTCAATCCTACTCTTCCAATCAGTCCTCCAATCATTCCTTTTAGCAAGCTACAGTAGTTATTAGCTGTATTTTGTACAAATACTTTTAGACAATTGTTGACCTCATTTTTGTGAGGTCTTAGTCTC